TGATTGGTCAGATGGTCCAGTCTGTTGTGATTGGTCTACTCTGCTCTGATTGGTCAGATGGTCCAGTCTGTTGTGATTGGTCTACTCTGCTCTGATTGGTCAGATGGTCCAGTCTGTTGTGATTGGTCTACTCTGCTCTGATTGGTCAGATGGTCCAGTCTGTTGTGATTGGTCTACTCTGCTCTGATTGGTCAGATGGTCCAGTCTGCTGTGATTGGTCTACTCTGCTCTGATTGGTCAGATGGTCCAGTCTGTTGTGATTGGTCTACTCTGCTCTGATTGGTCAGATGGTCCAGTCTGTTGTGATTGGTCTACTCTGCTCTGATTGGTCAGATGGCCCAGTCTGTTGTGATTGGTCTACTCTGCTCTGATTGGTCAGATGGTCCAGTCTGCTGTGATTGGTCTACTCTGCTCTGATTGGTCAGATGGTCCAGTCTGCTGTGATTGGTCTACTCTGCTCTGATTGGTCAGATGACTCAGTCTGTTGTGATTGGTCTACTCTGCTCTGATTGGTCAGATTACCCAGTCTGTTGTGATTGGTCTACTCTGCTCTGATTGGTCAGATGGCCCAGTCTGTTGTGATTGGTCTACTTTGCTCTGATTGGTCAGATGGTCCAGTCTGCTGTGATTGGTCTACTCTGCTCTGATTGGTCAGATGGTCCAGTCTGCTGTGATTGGTCTACTCTGCTCTGATTGGTCAGATGGTCCAGTCTGCTGTGTTTGGTCTACTCTGCTCTGATTGGTCAGATGACTCAGTCTGTTGTGATTGGTCTACTCTGCTCTGATTGGTCAGATGGTCCAGTCTGTTGTGATTGGTCTACTCTGCTCTGATTGGTCAGATGGTCCAGTCTGTTGTGATTGGTCTACTCTGCTCTGATTGGTCAGATGGTCCAGTCTGTTGTGATTGGTCTACTCTGCTCTGATTGGTCAGATGGTCCAGTCTGTTGTGATTGGTCTACTCTGCTCTGATTGGTCAGATGGTCCAGTCTGCTGTGATTGGTCTACTCTGCTCTGATTGGTCAGATGGTCCAGTCTGCTGTGATTGGTCTACTCTGCTCTGATTGGTCAGATGGTCCAGTCTGTTGTGATTGGTCTACTCTGCTCTGATTGGTCAGATTACCCAGTCTGTTGTGATTGGTCTACTCTGCTCTGATTGGTCAGATGGCCCAGTCTGTTGTGATTGGTCTACTTTGCTCTGATTGGTCAGATGGTCCAGTCTGCTGTGATTGGTCTACTCTGCTCTGATTGGTCAGATGGTCCAGTCTGCTGTGATTGGTCTACTCTGCTCTGATTGGTCAGATGGTCCAGTCTGTTGTGATTGGTCTACTCTGCTCTGATTGGTCAGATGGTCCAGTCTGTTGTGATTGGTCTACTCTGCTCTGATTGGTCAGATGGTCCAGTCTGCTGTGATTGGTCTACTCTGCTCTGATTGGTCAGATGGTCCAGTCTGTTGTGATTGGTCTACTCTGCTCTGATTGGTCAGTTGGTCCAGTCTGCTGTGATTGGTCTACTCTGCTCTGATTGGTCAGATGGTCCAGTCTGTTGTGATTGGTCTACTCTGCTCTGATTGGTCAGATGACTCAGTCTGTTGTGATTGGTCTACTCTGCTCTGATTGGTCAGATGACCCAGTCTGTTGTGATTGGTCTACTCTGCTCTGATTGGTCAGATGGTCCAGTCTGCTGTGATTGGTCTACTCTGCTCTGATTGGTCAGATGGTCCAGTCTGCTGTGATTGGTATACTCTGCTCTGATTGGTCAGATGGTCCAGTCTGCTGTGATTGGTCTACTCTTCTCTGATTGGTCAGATCGTCCAGTCTTTTCCGCTTACATCGCATGTCGGAAACGAAGCATTACCATAAGTGTTTTACCATTACCATATCTGGATTTCACGTCTTCAGATAGACACGTCATGACAGATAGACACGTCTTCCTCAGCTCTTGATACACAGTGATACGAACAGTAACGATGACGTATCAATTCGCGCTTGGGTCATCATTCTTTGGAAGTGATACAATGAAAATTTGCTTTCATTGTGCAGAAAACAGCGTCTTCTCGACATGTCGACAACATGAACCAAACTCCTCCAGTCTCAGGTACAGCTACAGTGTTTGAGGGTCAAAGTAGATGTTTTTCACAGGCAGCCGACACCATTATGCCAATTTGTTACAAACCTACATTGGTTTGTGCAGGAGGACTGGAATTACTGACAACTTACAACATTCACAAACAGCTATATTACACACTACATGAAAGGTAATATGTGAAAAAGCATAATGGGGCACTTTAGTTTTCTGCCTGGAGAACAAGGCGTTGATATTTGGTTAGTGGTCCAACAACCCTCTGAAGTGACTTCTGGATTTTGCTTCTGGATGACTCATAAGGAGATCTGGTTAGTTTCTCAACAGTTCGTTTGAGAGAAATGTTAGATTTTTGCAATACATTTTCCCTACCAAGATAAACAGTAGATTGGCTTCAATTATTTGTCTCTTTCTTTCAACAGCCAGATCTCTTCCCCTACAGTCTTGGCAAAGGAACGCAGTCTGGAGTCTCGTGCCATTCGTTGGCATTTCCACTAATCACACCTGCCCAGGAATGAGTGGAATGGGGCTGGTGCCATGACATGTACCCACACACCCTTTCAAGAGTCGTGTCTGAAGACGACCATCTCGGAGCGAAAATAGCAATGTGAAGTCGTAAAGGTTGTGCACGGAAATTGAACTTTACACTGGAAATCGCTGTGGTTGAAATCAACTGGGTGTGACTGACAATTTCAAAATTCCAGTGCATCTAGCGAGTTATGAAAGGTGTGAGACATTCCTTGTCATTCAGCAGATCATAGTCATGCTCATCCAAAAAAAATCCAATCCTGTTACTACAATAAGAACGCTTGCTTAGCATTTTCACAGACATTTTATTTTAAAAAGTCTTGAACACACACTGACAGATGTTAGAAACAATATTTGGCATTAAATGTCCAAAACAAACAAGTAAAAGTGATATAAAAAAAATTGTACACAAATTAAGACATTTCACAACATATTTCAAAGCAAAACAGTTCGCAAACGCAACATTTAGCTGGTAACATTTCTCTATCTGTGCTGCTTTCTTTGGCCTCAGGCAACACATTCTTATGTTTTACGTTTAAGAAAAACACCCTAAGTGTAGATGACCGTTCAACAGTGAGAAGGACAGCGTCTTAATACAATGTGCAAAATCTACTTTTAAAAAAATACAATATACTTCACAAAAGAACAATCAAGGCTACATGTACAGCAACATTTAAGACGTTTGTTAGGTTTTTGTTCACTTTGAAAAGAGCTGAAAAAATGTAACCATTGGCACAAAACCATTAAGGAAAGAATCCACCGCTTTAGTAGTTTAACCACCTGTTATTCACATTGTAAACTACACATTCCAAAGTTGAGTGAAAACTACTATTATGAATAAAGAAAATAAAGCCTATTTTAGGACCATTTAAGAGTTTTTTTTTGTTGTTGTTTTTTTGCATACTATCATTCATTTCATTACAATTAAGAAAATTTTTCATCATTACCGCAATTTGTCCAGACTTAAGTATTTATTTTTTAAATCAGCATACACGTATATTTTATAATTTCTATCATTTAAATAATGTATTCTTGTTCTTAGTAACCACTTTTTTGCATTACGGTAATGAGAATTTGGAGGAAAAATCTGCTTTAATTGCCTTGAAAAATATAAATACAAACAATCTAAAAACAGGCTTCAGTGTCTTCAAGCAAAATATAATTTCTTATTCGGTTCTCCTTATTTTGCATTGTAACATTATTTTATGACAATTAGGATCACATTTAAACCTTACCGTAATTTGTCCACGATTTTTTTTTTTTTTTTTTTTTAAATACATTCTTCTTTTTTCCCATTATGGTAATGACTTTTTGCATTACGGTAATGAGAAGTTGGAGGGAAAATGTGTTTTAATTGCCCTAGAAATAATACAGCAATGCAAACATCCTAAAAATAGCCTTCATTTTCTGTATGTAAATATATACTTTTTTTATTATTTTGGGGTGAAATATGACCCAAACTTGTCTATTAGCTCAGCCTGGCTATTCGTCTAGTACTATTATAACAAGAATACAGTGCTGATCAGAAAAATGTTTAGAATGTGTGTAATATATTCAATATTCAAAAACATTTGATATAAAAAAGGCAGCACAGCCTAACTAGTTATTCAACCGTTTTGGGTTCATTTCCTCTTTCAAAGGTCACCCGAATCTTACCAAGAACACAATGAGCCCCGTTTCATGCATGAAGGTGAGTAACCAGAGGCAAGAGTTAATCATTACTTAAATAATGAACGCAGAGGATCCGTGTGACTTGAGTGAGCGAGACGTTGAAGCGTGGAACCTCAGGCTAAAAATAGCCTGGTTTAAATAGTGAAGTCTAGTAAGTTTATGTACACATGTGTTCACAATGCTATCCGCATCTCGCATCTCGCCATCAGAACTGCAGTGACCTGGGATGGGTGCCGGTTGCCATGGTTACCATCCCGAATGACCTAAGGCTTGGTTTCCAGTGAAAGGTCCATGTAAATGTGAAGGAGGAAAAGCGCCTCCCCCTCCCCCGGCATTCCCAAGCCTCGTAGGGGGGAAACTCGGCTGCATTCCTCGGCTGCAGTTAATCATATTACATGATTAACTAAATGTATTTTTTCCAGGTACTCTCTGATATGGACTTACTGTAAAGCTTCTTTAAAACCCTATGATTGTTAGCCAGAGGAGAACTGGCCCCTGACTAGCCTGGGTTCTCCCAAGGTTTTTTTCTCCATCCAATCTGATGGAGTTTTGGTTCCTTGCCACTGTCGCCTTGCTTTTGGCTTGCTTAGTTGGGGATATTTAATATTCAACAATATTATTGAACTGTGTTGTACTACTTTCATGTTATCACTGTGAAGCTGCTTTGATGCAATCTGTATTGTGAAAAGCGCTATATAAATAAATGTGACTTGACTTGACTTGACATTCCAGAGAACGCTGAAAGATCTGAGGATGGAAAAACAGGGAATGAGTTACACATGTTGAACTTTACATGGTTCACCTACAATCCTTCACATTAGTTTAAAAAACTGAGTGCATGACAAAACTATAGTAAAACTTCATGGTATGTATATAATATCTATGTATGTATACAAACACCTACTAATGAGATCACATTCGGTATGTTAAGCCGCTTTTCATTTCAAAAGAGCTTTAAAACTTGTACTATAAAATTGTTCTTGCCCTGTTAAATGCGTTTCATCCCCTGAAACATTTAGGTAATGAGATCATGAAGTTCACTTGTGCCTAATTTCCACTTTTACAACATGTTTTTCCACCACCTATAAAACAAGCTGTTCCTTAGATGAGTTTTTGATCATTTTACTTTAAGAGTGTATTTTGTCTTTGTGGTTGCATTAGGAACGTGTAAACCGTTTTGACTAAGGCTTAACCAATAGAGCAACATAGCATATAAAATGCAGATATATAATACAATAAAAAATAGTGTAATATAATTAAAAATGGTATTATTATTAATAATATAAAATGTTTTGTGGACATGTTCTGGACATGGTGCATGAGGGTCACAGTTCAGTTGTGGACAGAAAAAAACCCCCCAGTAAATTAAAATACTGTTTGGATGTGAAAAGTCATGCATGGACGTTTCTCCCAATATTGCTGATGCCTGTTTTTCCGTTGTTGAGACGATCAACACTCCAGCAGCAGCATTAAAAATAATACCTGAGAGCTATCACCCTTTCACAAGTACAGCAGCTTTAGAGCCAGTTATATTTAAACATCAGCGTCCCGTATTTCATTCCATTGTGTTATTTCTGGGACATGGCAGACACTTTAATTTAAGACATGAGGAGCGATGCTGCACAAACGCTCGGGCGAAGTGAACAGCGCTTCAGTGTTGCGTAACTAACGCTCGAGCAGCGCTTATCCATCAGCGTCAGTGGTCTCACCCTTCCCAAACCAGCAGCAGAGCAAGTGACCTTTGACCCAGTTTGAAGCCCTTGGAAATTCCATTAAAGCAAGTCTAAAGACCCGAACGCACGCCTGGGATTCAATCAATGTGTTTAATAGATTGTATAGGCTTGTTTTCACAGCCTTAAACTGGAAATCCTTCTTGTTTTTCTTCATTACATCTACTTTATTCTTCCAAACTCTGGACTTCACTTCAAGGTTTTATTAGACATGTCAACTACATGCTAAAAAAACACACCTTTCAGCTTTTAAGGACTTCAGGTCTTTGTATTCAGAATATTATTTATTTATTGCATTAACATTTTTTATTCATTTGTAAAGCACTTATGTGTTTGCAAGTTACTATTTTTACCGAATAAATACTAAAAAAATGTTATTTATTTGGGTGCTAAATAAATGATTTATCACTCAAATGTATTTATTTTTATAAATGGTGAAACAGGATTTTTTTTTATTTTAATTAGTAAGACTAAAATAAAATAAAAATATTGGGTAATATTTATTAATACATTTTGTATTATTTATTATAGTAAAACTTAAAGCAAATAAATAGTAAATAATAATAAATCTGATAAATAAATATTTATCACCCAAATGTATGTTTAAGTATTTATGACCCTTAATGATACTTCAATAATGCCAAGAAATAAAATGTTTTGTTTTGTCATCTACTTAAATGGAAGTTATATTAAACAAATACAAATGTTTTTCATAATTAGGCTAATCAAACTCGAAATAGGCCTAAGTACAAAAATAAATAAACTCGAAATAAATATTAACCACTTTAATTTATGTAGGCTAGACATGTAATGATCACCCCCCAATAAAAATTAAACAATAGGCTACTAATAAATAAATATTAACTGAGTTAGTGGTAGGCTAGTGGTTTTGGCTCCAGCTCTTTCCCGATGGCTTCAGTAGGTAGGCTATCTGTAATGAGGGTCACAGGGCTGAATTAATGACAGCTGTGTAAACTCTGTAAACTACTGTATGAATGGATCTGTGCTCGGATCAATCCCGAGTCAGCGCCTTATTTAGGCCTATTAGGAAACGCCCTTTGCTTTGCATTATAAGCCGCCTCTCAATATTCTGTAATGTTTAGTTATGAGAGCGGAGTGTGAGGTTTAGTTTATAGGCTAAGTTTATAGGCTAAATCGGTGACAGCGGCAGCTTAAAGCTTGCTGGCATTTTCTTTTTCACATTTTATTGTGTTTATGAGTTCTAAATGATCTATAAATGTTCAAGAATACCGGCTCGTTTTAGTCAATGCGCCCCCAGTTTGAAAAACAAAGGCAGTTTGTATGCTAATCGCAGCCTTTTCACCTCATCTCATGTATGAATATTATGCAATTCTGATTAATTACATCGAGCGAGTTCGCGGCTGAATGACCTGTTTGATCTATTTACGGCTGGTAACCAATTTGAGCCCTTTGTATTATTCAATTTCTTTCCGCGGGTCCTGCTTCCACGGACAAAGAAGTGAACATTTTCCATTAACTGTATGCAGATCCAGCCGCGCCGCGGGGCTCGAGAGACGCGGAGACTCCGCGCGCGTGTCGGTAAAATAAGGCTGGCCGCAGCTGCCAAAATAAAGGATCTTTCTGGGTTTAAAAAAAAAAAAAAAAGCTAGCATTAATAAAACATTAGTATTGACCGTGACGGTCACTCTGGTCCGCCTCCGTGAATAATAAAACAGTCAGGAACTGACCCTTGACCTAGATCAGGTGTGTCATACAACAAACAGAGACTCATATGGTGTGTATTGGATACGTGCCAGTTACTACAGCCTGCTCTGCAAGACCAAAGAATGAGAGGATCTTGATAACTTCCTCCATGGTGCTCATGTTACAGTTCAGATTACTAGTCTTGCCAACTAGGCAACATTAAAGTTGCCTGAAGACTGGAAATATAATTCATCTGTAACCAGCTACATTCTATCTCACTATTCTCTGAGTAGGCCCACTGCATGGTATACACTCTAGCCTATACAACTTCTTTTAATAGTAGTAAGTGAAACGGTAGGCATTATGGAACAATTAACGTTTTAAACTGTAGCATGCAAATAACCTCATCACAAAGGGCCTACTTTATTAGTAACAAAAATGGTTATTTTGCATTCAAATTTGTGTAAAGGTCTTATTTTGGTACTAAGACAAGACTCAAAAAGAGATTAAATATCTGAAATTTCATCCAGATCATTGCCAGTACTGGAAAAGGAAGTATAATCAAGCGCAGTATAGTATTCAGCACTGTAAGCCTACAGCTGTGGTTCATATATAAATATTGTATAAATAAAAGTCTGCATACTGTGCACAGTAGGCATACTGTATTAGAAAAGTATACTAGCATGCTATTTCAAACATATCCCGAGTTAAACCACAATCTAAGCAGAGTTTTGTGGAAGGTATTCCTATTAGCCTTACGTTGACATAGGCAAACTTGTCAAATCATTTCATGGGGTTGTTCAAGTAATTAAACACAATGCATGTAAGGATTAGGTTGGGTTAGAAAAAGCATACTAAGTATGTTGGGTGAACTGCGTTCCAAAGTATTCTGTACCAACTCAAAGTCAAACAGTGACTCACTGTGATGATATGCAATGACAATAGGAAAGAAACTCATCTGCGTGACTGGCTGGTGAGAAATTATCTGAGAGTCTACACCTTTAGTGCAATGTATCTTCGATGTAGGCTACTCTAATGCATATTGGTTTGTGGCAAATATGAAAGAAGATCTTCTGTATTTGTTTTCCTCGCCCCTGTGACAAGATGACGACTTCTAAAGCAATGTGTATTTTTAGTTTTAAGCTGCTGGCTGCCAAATGGTGCAAAATATAGCTGCACCCTATACTACTAATACTCTAAATGTTCCGATCCAATCTGACTTGTAATGCTGCCCGAATCATGCACTGTTCCTTCGTTGGCCAGAGGAGAACTGGCCCCCCGACTGAGTCTGGTTTCTCCCAAGGTTTTTTTCTCCATTCTGTCACCTGATGGAGTTTTGGTTCCTTGCCACTGTTGCCTTGGCTTTTGGCTTGCTTAGTTGGGGACATTTAATATTCAATAATATTATTGATCTGCCTTACTTAAGGTGGACGTTGACGCAATTTCTTTTAGAAACGAACTTTGTTATATTGTTTTCATGTTATCACTGTGAAGCGCTTTGATACAATCTGTATTGTAAAAAGCGCTATATAAATAAAGGTGACTTGACTTGACCCTATTCCACATGCCTCACTCCAGCATTTCTGACAAGGCTATTCTGTGCAAAATTCAAAGGCGAATTAGTGATATTCAAAAGAGCTGGAACTGCAACGTTTGCACTCAAAGAAGGATAAAAGAGACTTGTCAGCTGCAGCCGTGCAGATCTGAGGCCTTGCAGACTCTCTTCTGCCCGTCTCCACCCAAACCATCTGTTTATTATTGAGGAAGGGCAAACAGCAGTTCCTCTAGGCGTCCTTCCATTAAGTGAGCGCTGAGCTCAACAAGCTGCGAGTGCTAAACAAGACGATGTGTTTTAGAAGTTGAACTAGAGCGAGTTTTTAGCACTACAAAAATTCTTGCTATTTTACAACAGATAAAGAGCAGGGTCACTTGACAAGTTGAAAGGCTCCTGTCTCCATCCTTGAATGTTCCTGCCAAACATTACGCACCAATCTCAAATAAACACGCCTTCTCTAAACATCGATGATCTGTGGGAAACCATTATTTGAGTTTGTTATCTGTCTGGCTACTGTGTACACTTGTGAGAACAATAAGCCCTGACATTTATATAAAAGAAAAGACAGAAGATTTGTAAACAATCCAGGGAAGCAAGACCATACACTTTTTCAGTGGAGCAATGTGCAAAAAAATGGTACAGGCCTCGCCATTGGCAGAACTGCAAGAATGAACCTGATCCTGTTCTTGCTGGAAGCATTTGGGAAAGCTTGTACGCCCCAGAGAGACGTGTTTTACTCAGTAATTTGTGCTGCCACATTCCTTAAAACTATTAAGAAACAATTTCATCTTTATTTGACATCCAACTGCACTAATTACGGTTAGACATTTCTCATCGACAAACAAAATTACTGCATCTGAGAGGGCAGATGTATACAAAGCAAATGTCAGTTGGTCCAGGACAGTGACATTGGACTCACCAAATAAGAGTAGTATTTTTCTTCAAGATGGGAGGTACTTCCAGGTGCTGACAAAAGCTGTTGGGATAAGCGAATACGGTATGCTTGTTATGCTATCCCATGAGTCCGTTGAGGGGTCATAGCAGTCCAAGGTTTTACACCTCTGTGCTCCAAAGTATCCCCCGACCACATACAGGCGATTCCCCGACGCCACTGCATGACAGCTGATTCTCCTTGAAGTCACGTCACCAAACTTGGTCCACTGGAACGTCTCGCTATTGAAGCGGTACGCGGAGCTCGCCGAGAACTCAGTATCTCCACCAATGACCACAACATGGTTCCCAACAACTGCTGCCGCTGTGTAACGCCAAAGCTGAGGACAAGTGGCCGGGACAGTCCACCTGTTCTCACAGGGGTCGAAGCACTGAACCTTAGGATACTTGTCCCTGTTGACACTAGTCCCTCCGAAAGCAAAGAGTTTGTTTTTGGCCCCTACGACAGCAGCATTGCTCACACCCTCTCGAAGAGGAGCTACCAGTGTCCACTTGTTGGATTGGGGGTTGTACTGCTCCACTTGTTTCAGGGACACAGACGGGGATGCAGGGAACGACCCTGCAAGGGATGTGTGTCCACCTACTACATACAGGATGTGGTCAAGTTCTGCTGAACCATGTCCAAATCTAGCGACGAGCATCGGTGCAGCTTTGGACCATTCGTCGTGCAATGTATCATAGACCCAAACGTCTTTTGAAGACCCGTTTTCAGACCCTCGACCACCCGTGACATATACTTTACAACCGATTGCGCAAGCACTACACTCTTTGCGAGGGCTAGGAATGTCCGTTTTGGGGTTGATCTCTTTCGCCTTGTGATCAATCATGTATACTTTGTCGCACATGAACGTTTGGCCTCCTAGAAGCAGGAGGGCTTGGCTGACCTTACGGGGTTGGGCGCAGAAACCTGTGACAACTCCGTCGTTCTGCAGGATCTTCATTTTGCAACGGACAGCGTCTTCTACAATCTCACGGCCCACCTTGTGTCCCATGACGAGCTCCTCGGACGCGACATTCTTTAGCAGGTAGGACTCCGGCAGTAGAGCGAGGCGAACACAGCGCAGAAGGTCGGGAAGATCCAGATGTCTACTCCCAATGTCTGCTCTAACCCAATCAATAACAGCCTCGTACACAATGCTTTCATCCTCAACCTCCAACTCCTCGCTAAAAACAAGCTCCTGAACTTTCTCTTTGGGCAGGTTTAAGAAGTCCTCAGTGTGGTAGAGATTAGCGAAATTTGCCAGGCACATCCGCCAAGAAAGTTCATACAACCTCTGGCACTGATGAGCATCGGACAGAAGCATCATCCCAAGACAGTTGGACGGATGCAGGTTCTTCTCCAGGAATTCTGCAGAGGCATCGCGGATGTCATGGAACTGGAGCATGTCGCCAGCCTCCAGCAAAGACTCTGCGTTTTCCTCGTTGATGATCACACGGGCGGAGTAGGCATAGTCAAGCAGGAGCTCCAGAACCTCCGGGTGCAAAGAGTCGTGGAAGTTGACCTCGGCGTCTCGGCTCTCCTTCAGGCCACCGCTAAACATGGCCTCAAAATAGCGGCTACACGATGCCAGAACCACCCGGTGGCATGGGAATGCTCGATGTCCAGCACGCAGGACTACATCCGTGAAGACATGTCGCTTGCGGAGGAGATTGAGGTGGGTAAGCAGGCTGTCTGGATGTGACGTTTTGTGGAACAGATGGATGTTCATGGACCCAGAGCTTGACCTTGACTTTCGGTTCTCGTGATTACTGACAGACATCTTCGAACTGGATAAAAGAAAGAAAAAAAACAAGAAAAAAAAACAATTAAAACCATTTCCTTTCAGATTTCCATTATCATCTCAAATCATCCATGGACATTCATTTGATATTACTCGGAAGGCCTATTGTTCAGCAGTGTTTAAAAATCCTTAACATATAATTAGATGGTGGATACATCATAGTTAGGGCAATTACACTTGGAACCAACCATATCCTTGGACGGCAGTAAACCCATAATCGTTTGTTAAACAGCATTTCGTTTACCTTGAGATTGTTCAGTACAAGGGTTAATGATTTATGGGAAATGAATCATCGCCTTCCTCTTTGATTCTTTGATCTCTGATAAAGTTACTGCTCTTAGCTATAATTTCATAATTTCAGTTATGCATAAAACAAAGTAAATTGCATAGGAGTATGAAACTTAATTGTCTAACAATAGTACAACAGTGAACTAAAATGACTACAACACCACTGTTAAATAAATCATATTTCCATGTGTTTGTTGTATTTAAAATACTGATCACATAATAAGGCCAGCAACCAAATCTTTAAAAAGCCTTTAAATAGACACCAAAATGTTATTTTTCCAAGATAGATCAACCAAGATACCAATGACTTTGTTTACTATGCTAGTCATAAAATAGCATATTCATTTTTTTGTTACTAGAAATATTGTCATGAGAAAATATGAATATATGAAAATTCCCTATGAATGTACCATGGTTTTACAGTAACGATAACTGCAGTGACTATGGTCAACTATGGCAACACGTGCATTTTTTTGCCCTTTAAATAACTTTAATACAAATATATTCTATATAGTTTTCTTTTAGGTAAAAAACAAAAACAAAAAAAACTTTACATGAAGAAATGGACATGACGTTTGCAGTAGCCTATTTCGCAACGCATTTAAATATTTAATGTTAAAGTGACAGGTTTTCAACAGACAAATCTACTGAGCGGTCCAATACAATCCATGTATAGGCTACTACACGCTTGAATATTGTAACATTGTGTCGTATAACCAAGTATGAAAAAAGTAGCATGAATTTACCTTATTCGTCGCGTGGACTTAAACAGTATGCATTCGACTTATCCGCGTGTTACTTTAAGACGTCTTGAACGATTTCAGTAGTAACATTTCTCTTGATGGGATCAGTCTGAAGTCTGTGAGATCCGCCTGTTACACGCTGGGGAACATTACTACTGTGACTCGAGAATCAGTGAGTGAGTGTAGTGTGGATCTCAGTCTCAGTCGCTCCTCCTCTTCCCGCATGTTAAATGTCCAATCCTGGCGGAGGAGGTGATCTTAGGACATGTTTTATTTCTAGTAATGAGAAGTGTTTTGGATAATTAGTGAGCATTTGGTGTGTATGAATGTGATGCATTGGTATTGAGACACATATTTTTCATGTTTGAGACTGTGAATGATAGGAATACTGTGTAAGCCTCCACAGATAGCAACAATACTATCTCTGTCATATTGCAGTTATGCATAAACTATTTACAGTCACTCTTCAGTTTAAGGAAAGAAATACGCCGCTCTTCAATTACGTATGTGAACGTGCCTTTTTTAACAATAGCCTTTTTGGGGGGGAGGGGGCAAAAATAATGAGATTTTAAATACAGTACAACTACAAGGTAGGCTAAAATTATTACAATAGTAATAATGTTTTCTTAAAAAAAAGTTTTTAAAAAAATCAGTAGGCCTACGTCGGTGTTTGTTGGCTTTACCATTTATACCATTGCTGTAGCATGATACCTCCAGATTCATGTTTATTGAGCCTCTTTCATTAAGGTATTTAGTATCAATCCACAATGTTTCCAACACAGTTATGCCAACAGGAAGCGCATGATGTTTTTCTTTGCATGTTTAATTTGTCCAGAACGGTTGTTGTACAAACTTCACCAGTGTATTACTGTGAGTGAAGACTTACTGTAGCCTACTGTGTGACTGTTAATTACTGTCAGACCCCCTGCCAACACTCATTCATCTTCACTCAGCCAAACTTGTTCATATCTAATAGAGTTATTAGAGCTTAAACAGCCGTTACTGTGTCAATGCCCTGTTTACACAGTCCTCAACACCAATTATATCTGACTTTCAAAACAAAATCCTTCTGGCTGGTTTGACAGTTTTAACTTGGTATATTATATTATAAAAATAACTCCAATATTACTATATTATAATATATTATAATTTATTAATTGATGTACTGATTGATTTATTGATTTATTTAAAAAACTTAAGAACAAATGATAAACTAATTTCTTTACAGTAATGTCTGGTGGGATGTAGCGGCACCTACTGGACAGAACTCATGTTGCAATAAAGCTGAACCCATATAAAACACAAATCGTTATTTTAAAAAAGGAGATTTATAGCAGACGCAGAAATTGCAAACTTACAAAAAAAAACATTTGTACCATATTAATGTACCGGTAATTTTGTTGGCCTTTTAAAACGGCAAAATGTTGTGTTAAATCAAAAGCGATAAATCCTTATAAAATCTGAGTTTATGCTAATGACAGGCAACATCATGATAGGCTAATGTTGTTTTTCTTGATGTTGTTTAAAAATCATCACGTTATGATCGTATGTGTTTTTGCTGTCATTAAAAACTACATTTCCCAGAAGACAACAGTCAGGATGTTTTCGCCAGCGCTTCCGGTTCATCTCAAGGGCAAAATTATCACATGTAGAGAAGCGACACAGACTTTAATCCGGTGTGTCACTGTTATTAGATCTATAATTGTGTAAAATGGACAGTTTTGGTTCTGATTTCTCTTCGGGCTCATCTTCTGGTAAAATGGACACTGGCACTATAATGGAGCAGGTCAAAGTTCAGATTGCCGTTGCGAACGCTCAAGAGCTGCTGCAGGTTAGTGACTTTAACTCTTAAGATGTTAAATGCTGCTTTAAATTATCCCTACATAAATACTCCTACAAATAATTGCATTGTGCTTCCTAAAATGAATAAGTATCTATATAAGAGGCTGGTGTTGGATAGGATTTGTCATTACAACATGCTGAATAAATGGATTACTCTTATATCACTTTACCATGGTAGGCTATACCTTGGTGTATCATGTAAATGTCATGGTGGTGATCATTAAGCACAGTTTTATAGCAAAGCACATTAATATTATATGTTATCATCACCATATACACTTACCAAAAAGTATACTTTGTAGTAGTATTACCTTGGTATTTTAAACATGTACCATACTCAACAGTCTTTTTTTCCTTTTTCTTTTGAAAGGCTTTGTCTATGTACAATCTCTGTAAAACTGTATTTTTGAGTATGTACCGTGTTACTACCATGATAATCTTTGAAGTACCATGAAATACCATGGTATATGAGCATGGTACCCTTTCAGAAAGGACAGTGATACATGGTATGCCAAAGGATTTCCAACATTACCATCCGTGCCATTACTGTACTATACAGTAAAAATGTATATTGTTTTTTTCCAAAGTTGTAAATAAGAAGTTTTATATGAAAATACTGTTTCAGTGTTTCTACTTTAAAATGACTTGTTTAATTAATTGTGTTGCTTGCTGTTTCTGTGTAATTATTTGTCACATTTTCTAGCAATTACTTCTTTCTAAGTACTTTTCAGTATATGACACTGCCGCAGTACCTTTTTATAAGGTATCCAGTTACAAAAAGTACCAAAATGTACTATAGTACTAGCATACTAGAATTATTCCATGCATTCCTAATGCCATTTGTCATTCATTGCAGAGAATGACTGATAAATGCTTCAAGAAATGCATTGGCAAACCAGGAAGCACATTGGACAACTCTGAACAGGTATGAGCAGGACATCCTATACCGTTGTCCATGTTTCTTTGAGGAAATAACATCTAGACCCATACTACACAACCCTTTCGTTTTTTTCCAGAAATGCATTGCCATGTGCATGGACCGCTACATGGATGCATGGAACACGGTCTCCCGCGCATATAATTCCAGATTACAGAGGGAAAGGGCACGTATTTGATGTGCATATGGCGGCCGGTACTACCTCGGTATCACCTGAGTCCTCAGGTCGAGATGCCTGGTCTCCAAATGCACGACGAGTGTATAGACTTGGCACGCTTACCACGCAACAACAACTGATGGATACAGAAGGAACCAGGTGGCTGGATTTAGACTCTACATGGACATTTTTCATTACGTTTTGTTTTCAAACCATGTTAAAATGATAATACAAGACATAAAATAGCTGTTTAATAATTTTAAAATTCAAATTAAAGGATTGATATGATAATTGTAGTAGCAGGTCTCATGTTTAAAGTAATGAGCAGAATTGGGATAACAAGAGGATGGGTCATGATTTTGGTATCCAGTTCCTGCTCGCGGGTCTCACTATGTTTAAAAACAATGCTAAAAATCGGACACCTCCCCTTATGCTGTTATCCATTCATCAAGCAGCCAATCAAAATTCAATCTGCCATCTGTCTACCTTTTGTCATTGGGTGGATGTTACTCCATTCCCTGAGGGAACGGCTCACTTTACCACCTCTGTTCCTCAAACCCTAGCTCTTCTCCCAGAGGGGAAGAATTCAGGGGCGTCTTTGTTGCAATAATTGTCACTTCTTCACCAGGATCGGCCGAATAGTGCTTCTAACTTACCTCTGAAGAACAAACTGCAATTGTCGACACTGGAGTCTCATTTGTCTCATTGTCTGTTAAGTACAGTAGTAGGGTTGTTTAGACACTAAACTACAAACCCTTGTAAAAGCAGTTCCCTTTGTGTACAAGCGTGTCAAAGTTCCCAATTTCCTTTGCTTCATTGAGTTTTGTAAAGGCTTGGACAGAGATGCAAACTCCACCAAGACATGTCCAGACAGATGTTGTGCTGTTTTTATGGAATGCAAATAAATACCATCAAGTCAGTACATTTTTATTGATGTTTTTGTTGCAATGATGGAATATCAGGTTAAGAGATGTAGCACCATTTGTACAAATTAGGCCTGGAACATACTAATCAAGTACATGAACTTACATTTTGCTTTCTCAGCATGGCCACAAGCTGCGTAATAGCATGCATTTTCACAAACTCTTATTCTACAGCCTGGTCAAAGACTGTCATGGCGGAGCAACAGTTTGAAATTAACCTTGTTTAATGGCACAGACTTTTGTACTGAAGTTTGGTTCTGTCTTAGTAACACAAGAATACACTTATGTTCAAAGGGACCATGTGCTTGCAAAATATGTGGTTTCAAATTTCCTACATATTCTGATATTATTCCTACATTTTCCATTACAGGAATATAAATTCTGCTGGTGAAATGAGAAGGGGGATCCCTTAATTTCTTGAAATCAGAATTTATCAAGAAAGCTTAAGGCAAGCAAATGTTGCCATATTTTATTATCTTCCATCTGAAGTGAAAACCACTTCTCATTGATCATTATTTGTACATATTTCTAAGCCATATTGGTTATGCTTAGGCCCACACGGGATCTGCAACCTGCTGAATTGGAGCATTTTCCCCTCAAAATCAGGGCAGAATTGCATACAAATCTGCAGATTTCATGGAGACCTTATGGTTTTTTTCCTAAACGCATTTCAAGGGCTAGTGCATCGTACATCAGAATGCAATGTTAATAAATACCGCAAATAAATATTTTGACAGTAGAGTGAACATGTTGGTAAAGTCATCCATTTGAGTTTCATGCATCTTCAGTTGAGAGACACGTCTGCACATCACTTGTGAGCCAGATGGTGGAGTACATTTCTGGATCATATTTTTAAAAAGGGAGGTATATAGATATCCACTCTCTGACAGACGTGACCTGCATGTAAACTCCCGGGAAGCCAATTCGACCACAGCCGTGACCCCAGCTGGTCACCCCGGCCAGGAACCAACGGCCCTGGGGTTCCCGGCACACCAGAGGGCCCCCTGAGTCTCCCTGCAGAAGAAGAGAGGACCACTGCGTTCATTTGTGTTTTTATGGAAGGTATGACATTTAAAGAAGTCTGCTGAAAACTCAAGGATATGGTTGAATTACATTGGGCTGTGTTACGTAATCAGCTTAAGAGGCACGGTGGATGTTTTAAGGGAAAAAAAAGACTTAGAGCATTAAGTATCATCAGGTAAGTGCAGCAGTGCTTCAGAAGAAGTCATTCAGAATTATCCTACTCCTGTGCAACTGCTGATTTTTATTTTTTTTATTTTTTGGACAGTATCATTCAGAAACCCTTAATATTCTCACAAACTTACCAAACATGTGTCCCTGTTCCCCTCCACAGAGCCAGCACACATCATGTTGTCGGTAAGTCCACCACCATAAGCTCGCTGGCAGTCCCACCGATCAAAGATACTAACCTGTGCTTTTTGCAGCAAATTGGTAATCATACCTATGTGGGATAAACAGACCATACATCATAATGGATCCTATTAATCAAATGCAGTCCACAGATATATCCATATCTTTTTGGAATCAAGGTTTAATTCAGATGAAGTCAAGAAGACCTTTTTTTATGTCGTTTTCACACTTGATCCTAATTCGGTTGTCTCTCCATGCCCATGCTGGGAATGGTCAACATTCATAGGCTGATAATTTCCGCAAAATATTCATAATAGCATTTCATTTTCGGATTGCGTTTACATTAATCAGTAAATGTATTACAGTTCATGTGATTCAAATCCCAGACCCCTTCTTAAACAGAGGGAACACATGCTCCTTGGTGGACACTTCAGTATGAAAGACAGCTTTCACATGACTAAGTTCAATCGAACCTGAGTCCACACCAGAACATCTAGTGTGAAAACGATATCAAAAACCATCTGTCTAGGTTTTATCTTGTCACCTTGACCAACCCCAAACTCACCGTCCTCCTTCACAGCGCCCCATCCAATGATGTAGCATTCCACAGTTTTGATGAAGCTATGCCAGGGAGAGGGCAAACACACAGTCTGGATGGTGTAGGACTTGGGGGCGGGGATGGAGAGTTCCACCAATGCCACATCAAAGTCCATGGTGCTGCTATTGAAAGCAGGATGAGAGATGATCCTTTGCGCTGGAATAACCAGAGCACCAACTCCAGACCAAATGACTGATCCAAGACTTACTGTCCAACTAGCAGTATTCAGCTCACTATTGACGAAAAAATAAAATAAAAACACTAAATATTTTTCTGTTAAACTCTTTAAGACTAGAGCATGTTGGGAAGTCGCCAGTCAGTGGTACACTACCCTCTGAAGCAGTGAGCAGCAGTCAGGAGCCATTTGCAGTGGATAAGCGTAGCTCCACAGCGGTGAGTGCGTTGGTACTGCAGACTGCCCACCCATGGCCATTCACCTCTCCGGGCAGAGACGCCACCGATAATCCTCCCTTGTCCCACGGCTGGACGATTCCCACAGTCTACAAAGTAAACAGGTGACCCTTATATTCTTGTTCCTCAGACTAGTTTAATGGACCTAATGAAGACTAGGCTGTAAGTGATGCATGTATGGTCTGTTCAATAAGTTGTACAGTTGTCTAATAGTCAACGCAACATTGAAAATATGCTTTTCTTCCAGTGGACAAAAGAAATGGGATGTGAAAATTGGCGACAGTGCAAACTATTGAACGGACCCGTACATTTACCATTCACGGCTACCCTTGTTTCTTTTGTGTAAAGTTAAATATGGAACCCACCCCGACTAAGGTCTACACTAGCTAGTTAACCACACTTCATTAATGTGGGTGCAAACCAAAGGGATTGTTGTTAAGCAGGGGTGTCCAATCCTAGAACCAACCCTGGATGTGATTCCTGCTCCAACACACCTCTTTGTTATGCGTTTTTGAAAATATTAACTCTCTGGTTGCTGTGTTTTTGATTAGATTTGGAGCCAAATTGTCCGGGAAGGTAGACCTCCAGGAACAGGATTGGGCACCCCTGTTGTAGAGATCGAGATTATTAGAGATTATTTACCACAGTTTTTCTCATCAACCTCATTGGGGCAGTCAACGACTCTGTCGCATTCTGGGTTTATCTTGCTGATGCACTTGTCTCCGCCACAGTTATAATTACCACTGCAGTTCCCAGAAGCAGGATTATATTCATTACTGGCGAGCTCAGAGGATGTGTTCATAGCTTTAACAAGGTGAACTGCAGTGGTTGTGACACTAGGGTCAGTGGGAGCGACTTGGACTGTTGGTGCGATTTTGGTGTAGCCCAGAATCCAGTTGCGGAGTTTGGTGACGCGGGAATAGACCCCAGGCTTGTTGATCTGTGCACATCCCACTCCCCAGCTCACCACGCCCGCTAGGAAAAAGCGTCCAGGGGCCACCTCACATACCAGAGGGCCCCCAGAATCTCCCTGAAGGCCGAAAAACACATTTAAAACATTCAATTGTGAAAACACTTTTTAGGGCATCAGGCAGTAATGCTATAACCCTTACCTGACAAGAGTCCACCTTTCCTTGAAGAAAACCAGCACACATCATATTTTGAGTGAGTGCACCTCTGTATACAGATGTCTTGTTGCAGACTTTCGAGTCAATGATCTTCACGATTGCCTTCTGTAATGTAGAAGGCACCTCACCTGCTCGGTAAAAGAGGTGTAGTCGTAAAAGGGGTTGTCTCGAGTAGTCAGACTTTTGGCAAAAAGGCTGGTCTTCATGGAAGCTTATTATGATCGAGAACCACCAACATAAGCAGGAAAAGAGCACCTGATTGACATTTAAAGTGACCAACCACAGTTTGTTTGGAGTTCAGGGATGAGGTAGTCTCAGCTTCATACATCAAGCCTACGGACCACTGACTGAATGTCTGATGCATGTGGCACACTTAACTGGAAACACTTCAGGATTTTCAAAATCATAATCTGATTGGTTTAATTCTACAGGATGTCCAGGAGACGTGTGTGTCGCGTTCTTTAACGGTCCGCCTAGAAACAAAGATGCCGTGAGGCCAAACCCCCTTATGGAAGAAGAACGCAGTCATGTTTACAACCGGTACAATGAGCGCTTATCAGGATCAACTAAACACTGGATTTTCAAAAGTACGTGAAATTCGCGGCTCCAGTGTTACAGTAAACTTGCACAACGTTCTTGAATTAATAATTTATTAGATGCACGCTGGTCTGTTATTGTAGGGACATTGACTTTACATTTTCAAGCCCCTAAACATGACAGGGAACAAAACAAACTGTGATTGGTTGCGCTACATGTCAGTCAAACATCCTCTTGGGCGGTTCTTGTCCAATGAAAGCTGCTATAGAGTCCAGACCTTCTGCTGTCAGTCTGAAGGTCTGGCTACATGAGACTAGGGGTAAGTTAAACTCATCAAACTCAAGCTAAAGTATATTCTGATGCTTTACACAACATCAAACATACTCACTGGTGTACTGATAAAGAGCTCCCCAACCAGAGACGATGCAGTTCTGCCCAGGACTGAAAATGTGAGAGGATGATGGGATACAGACTGGCTGAACATAATGACTAAACGTCAAGGGCGTTTCCAACTCCAGTACGGTCACATCACTGTCAGTGGTCATGGGATCATAGACCGGAGAGACAACCAGGGACTTGATGTTTACTATGGTGGCTTCTCCCTCCACCCCACTGACTAGACTGGCTCCCACTAGAGCCGTCCAATCTTTTGGGTTGTTTTCTCTTTGGTATATAAGGAAGACATTTTTAGATATACATTGGTGCCTAATGAGAAACTGATGAAGATCTTACAGAAATGCTTCCTCACGTTTCAAAACAATGAGCGGCACTGACAAGCCAGAGATTGTTGACGATGGAGGCACCACATGTATGACGGCCGCGTAGTCTGAGACTGACCTGCCAGGGTAGCTCCCCGTGACGGGCGTTTTCACCACCCACAACACGGTTAGCCATGGCGGGACGTGTTCCACAGGCTATAAGAGAAACAATGGTTAACAATCAAAGAACATAAATTAAGCCTGGTTTTTCTGAAGAAAATATGACTGCACAGCTTGCCACCACAATGCTAGGGTTCTGTGATTATTTTAGTGCTGTTACCATGTTTCTATTCATTTGCAAGGGTATTCAAGGTACTTGCAAGGTGGTTTCTAAGTTGTTCTGGCTGGTTTATTGCTGGCTGCTGATATAGCTGGCTGCTTGTCCCTAGATATAGCTTGTGTACTTCTTTAATAAAAGTCTATTGATTTTCTTGCTAGTATTGTTGTCCGTCAGGCAATAGTCCTAAGAGGTATCATTCATGTCTGTAGGAATATTATGCAAACTTAATGCAAAGTTATTTAAATCACAAACCCTAAGTAATTGTGATGTTTGTCTTAACAAGCACAACTAAAAATACATGTTCCTCTCTTAAAACCTTTAAACTATTTTTATACTAATATGTCAAATGTAATCAGTTATCTTTTACCTCAGGCCAAAATTAGTTCTTAAACTTACAAAAAGGAAACTAACAGCTAAATATAGCGTTAGCATAATAACTCATGATAGCAAGATGGTGGCACTTACAGCAAAAGGCTTCATCTGAACCATCAACACAATCGGTTATAAAGTCGCATTCTGGATTTGGCTTTGTGATGCATTCGCCACTGTCACAAGTGAACGTGTTCTCGGGACATTTACCTGGAGTAAAAGACAAAGACATCTGAGCACCCTGAGTTTTCAATGAACAATGAATATATGATCAACAATATTATCACATTCTGCTTACTTATGTCATTGCCAATCTCATAGAATGACTTTCCACTTGCCCCTGAAAAAAGAAAACAAAAAATGGTCAAAATGACACTATTATTGACTTAAATTTTTTAATAGGAATTCGGCGTACCAAGAAGGATGATGCTACTGATCTCTCCGTATTCTGGGACAATGATAGGTTTCCCGTTCAACATGGCCTTAAATCCAGTGCGAAGGAGGTCTTGAACGAAGTTCTCCGTGTACCCCTGGACTTGAGAAACCCGGAAGACCAAACGAAGAGTGGTCATCACATTTGAGTTGATATTCCTGAAAGATATCACAGACTCTTAATCAAATACCAAAATATATACAGACATAATTCCCCACGTTGTTTTATAGAGTTAAAACATGGCATGTAGGCAGTGTACCTACCCATACGCAACTATCTGACAGTCAGTAAAATGATTTGCCACTGCAGAGGCTCTAAAGATATTCTTGATCTGTAAAATAGAGAAGACAGCAGTGGACATCTGTTTCTTAAAACCAATTTTACATCTGCAATGTGAAGATTTCCGTGCAAGTTATTGGTCATACTTTTGTTTTCAGAGTCGAGGTCAGAACTACAGAGAATCCTGATGTTTTATCTAGCAGGTCTGAATCATAACTGAGTCCTTGCAATTCCACTGTCTCCATGAAATAATGTTCCTCTTGTATTAAGTAGGCTAAACAGGAAAAACAAGGTTGGTATAAGTGTCCAACAATATCATAATATTTTGATTCTGTGGACAAATTACTCAGATGGAGATAATTCATTAACCTGTCATAAAACCCACAGCAGCCCCAATGATGAGAAGAATCAGTATTGCGGCTAATGTTATACATTTGGAAGCAGAAAGGTAAGCTGGCCGTGAATCACCCTCGGGCCACTTATTCAAGTCTTTCTTCTCCATTTCAGTCTATACAAAGACCTGCAACACAACCTGGACATTCAAACTGTAAAACACAAGAACACATGGAGGTAAGAAATACAGACAGATGACCAGGTAAAAACAGGATTGGATTTTTATGATATCAAAAGTATTAGCATCTCCCTTGGGTACCGAGAGTGAAAATCATCTCGTGGGATGACAAAGTATTATTTCATCGGCCATAGAATGAGACAATACTAGGAGTGGTTCAGAGAAGCCAAAACAAACCTCTGTCGATTCTTAGATGTTATATTGCAGAAATATGAAGCCTGGGGTTCCAGAGAGTATGGATAAAGTTACTTTTCACTTCAGGCTTGTAAATGCAACAACAACTCTCTGATTAAATATATGCACATAAAAAAATATAAACAAACAATTCAAAGTACAAAACTATTATTTACAGGCTTGCCAACAACAATGCAAAGGTATCACATAAAATGGCAGTTTTGGGCATACAGTTTGGCACAACAAAACAATATATTCCTATTAAAACTCACATATAATTAATAAATGTTATGTCAGTTTACAACAACGCATTACAAACAAGAATACTAGTAGAAACAGTGGTAGTATACTGACTATATGCCAATTAAAACATACATTGCTAAATAATAATGGTTTATGCATGCACAAATCCAATGCAACATATCAAATATAAAATGGCTTTAATACTGTTAAATAAAGAAAGAAAATATTATTTTCGTTTTAAACAATCAAAATTAAATTCAAACTGTTCAAATACTTTTCTGAAGAGCATTAAAACTGTGGGTATAAATAACTTCTGGCACAATTCTAGAAGGAATAGAATAGAATATATGGTTACTCACCGTTTCAGACAGCATTTGGTCACCGAGGCATCTGATCTTTACATTGATGTCCGAATAAACCGCACGACAAGTTTTGAGACTATAGAATGCAGCGTTGTTATGCGCTTGGGGTTTACATGTGGGCGTGGCTTTACACAGGTGAGGGCGGGGGAGATCTTTGATTGGCCGGTGCTACAATATATATATAATACTTTTTTTTTTTAAATCCTCTATTATCTCTCACAATACCATTTTAAGACAGTTAAGTGATTTAAAGAATCTGTTGTTCCTGGGAGGGGTTAAAAAAAAACTTAATCCAAAACAAAACCAAAAGCTTAAACTGCAAATAGTTTCAAATTTCTTAAAAGCCTACCCAGCGACAAATGCTGCAAATGAGCTATTATCTAAAAGCGTATATGTATATAGAGAGAGCAAGTGCTGTGCAGTAATGTTATTCTGTATTTTCCCTGTCCAATAAAAAAAAAACTTGTTTCTTCTTTTTGTATTTTATTATGTATCTATATATTTTCCCATATATGTATTTTTGTAGCTTCTCATTTTTTACATTTATATATGTTTTTTTTTTAATGTATCGAATGTGATGTATTTTTTATTTATTGAATATATTATTTACATTATCTTTTTTTTTTTTTTTTACCTCATAGGTTTATTCTGCCGTCCAAAATGAAACGCAACTTTGCTTACTAGACCACCTCTCCTCAGACTTCTACTGACCTGGAATAGTATTAAGAGTTGGCCCGTCTTCAGACAGCAGCTCCTCTTACAGACCCCTCTAAAGTTAACCATCAGTTAACAGACCCTGAACCACTATAACTGTGTTACCCAATAAAGCCCAGACTTGGGTGCCAGTGCGCACCGATAAAATCTGGAAAGTCCTGCTGTTCAAAAGAGCACCAGCAAGGCAAGACACACAGCCTTTCATTCATAACTGCTAGAAAACCACCATCACAAATGAAGGGACCAACAAAACTTGATTAGCCTCACACGTATTGCGTTAAATATCAGAGTGAAAACCATACTGTAACTAGTGACTATATTGATGTACATACTGTTTCCCACCTAAAGTAAATCTAGAAAGGTTACAGGCAGGTCTTTGTGGCTGTGCTAAGAAGCATGAATAGTTCATCTCAATCTGATAGCCATCAAAAGGGGTGGAAAAACCCTTGTTTTCTTGCAAGATTTTGGGAACTTGCATGAACACCTGTATGTGAAAGTAGGTATACCTACTTAAAGTTTTATACCTATTAACAAAGTGTATGCATTCATTTAACAAAAGTAGGGGGGAGGGGGAAATCTCACAAATTGGGAAGGGTCCATGACTGAGTCTTTAATCTAAGGAATTAGTTTGGTAAATGTAAAACAGAGTAGAGGACACCACAAAAGCAAACAAGAATGTTTTCTCAAGGCGTCTTGAAACCGAAGGCCTTCAAAATATTATACAAATGATGTTCCGTGAAAGCTTGCTGACAATGTGTGTGTGTACAAAAGCTTTCTGGATAGGTAAAGCTGTGGGATCCACCCTTTGAGGTACAGGCACAGTCTTTGTTTATTATGGTCCAAATGAACGTCAGTAGCAAAACAACACTGAAAGAACCAGGGCAGTATTACGCACCTATTTTCATGAACAGAAAACATGCCTTATAATTCAAAACCATTAACACACACACACACATACAAAAAAAACATGAGTTTCATAAACAGAAACAAAACCAACCAAAACACATTTATCCTGATTCTAAATACAAAATGTTACATTTTTCATGATTTCAGACCTAACAAAAACTATCCGGTTTTTTTTTTTTTTTACCAGACATCTACAAAATGCAAAATGCAAAAAAAAAAAAAAAAAAAAAAAAATCTGAATATTATCCATCCTGCTGTTGAATGAAAGGGTTTGGAATGGCCTCCATCCCGTCCTGTGGACAGATAAGCACGACGGACGTCCCTCGACAAACCACCAGACCGAGCTGTCTAGTGTCTTCGGTCAGCTTGTACTGGTCATCCGGATCTGTTCAGAATCATCAGGATGTGATTAGGAATCATATACAACGATCCTGAATAAAAAGCTTAAAAAAAAACAAAAAAAAAACGCTCAGGTAGAGCAAGGGTTTTCAATCTTTTAGGCTACATTTAGACTGCAGGTAAATGTGGCCCAAATCTGATTTTTTTTTTGCTCAACCGTGACTCAGATCTGTTTTTCTCATGATCTTTTCAATTCTGATTTGGGCCACTAAATTCTTGCAATGCAACCTCAGAATTCATGTGACTTTTACGTCTCTCTAGAGCAACATTCGTCACAGTTCGGCACTCATGGGAGTCATTTAAGCAATTGTGAAAGGTAGTCAGTAAAGGACAGTGATGTGTCAGAGCTCACAAGTATTACAGTAACAGCTCTATATACAAGCAAAACACAAGGGCTTGTATCATAACTGTTTAAAAACTCTGCAAATCTTTTTTCGAATCGTCTTCTTTGTTTTTTATATTGTCTGCGCATAAATTTGCCTGCTTCTGCAGCAGATCACACTATAAATAAATGCGTAAACATTTTTTTACGGAAAAATTTTACTTCCGTATGACAGCGTGATGCGTGACGTCTTTTTATTGTTCTTTTGCGCATACGGGTCAGTCCAGGACCATGATCTGTTCACATTGGAATCTGATATTGGCCATATTTAAAACAACAATGTGAACAGCTGTACAAAAAAAAAGAAAAAGATCTGAGCAATAAATCGGAATTTTGGAAGGCTCACAGTGTGAACATTTAGTCTAAGGCGCTGTTTACACCTGGCCACTTCATGCGTTTTCTCAGGTCGATAGCTATCTGATTTAATCAAAACGATTCCATTTACACCTGGTCACATAAATGTGTTTTTGCAAAACGGATATAAATCCGATCTTCAATTCCCGCTCCAGATTTAATGGAGTTCACGTCACCAAAAGCAACAGATATTGCTGCATTTTATTGATTATCAGCTAATTTCAAAATCAAAGACAGCAATACGAGAGTGTTAACAGAACTGGTAAGATCATTTCGTTTCTTTACTTTTAATGAAGATGATTAGTGTGTTAAGCGTCTGCGACTTACTTTCACTTTGATTTGCGATAGTTTGTGGCGCGTTGGCTTGATGAATAGATGCTCAGCTGCTCATCTGTGGTGATGCGTGTTGCAGTAGCGCCGTCATATCTGACTATAACATGACATATAGCCTATATAACACGCTCTCACCCATTTATTTTTTAGCATTGTTGGGAGGAGTAAAATTTGCATATGTGGTTTCAACAACCAGATGCATTTACACTTGTCCAGTTTCGTCTGGAATGCGGCCCAGACCTCCTCCTGAAGTGGTTTGAGCGATCGGATTCAAATCCGTCTCGAATGGGTTTCGGAGGGCATTTACACCTGGTCTTTTCACGATCGGATAGCTATCCGATCACAGAAAACGCATGAAGTGGCCAGGTGTAAACAGCCCCTAAGATGCCATGGACCCCCAAATATGATCCCTCCATGAATATGTGACTTGAAAATATATAGCTGTATTTTAAGCTTCAGAATACAACTATATATTTTCATGTACAGTAGTTAACATTTGTTATTTACGAATTTTGAACAATACCCGAACTTTGAACTTTTTTGATACACTTCAAATGTTAGAGCTGCAGTCCGTAGTTTTTCCTCTGTCGCCATCTCTGTTCGAAATCTACACTTGCAGTTATTCGCGGAATTATCCATTTTACGGGAGTTGTACTTCAACACCCTCGACACGGCACAGCGCGGATGAACACAACGTTTTGAGGAGAATGTGGCTGTCAGTCGTCGCAGAGTCGTCTCTGCGTCCGTTTTTAACCCCTTTACTTTCAAAAGCCCTTCCGATGTTTATCCTTGTTTTAGCATGGGCCCAGTTGCAGTCTCTGTAGCCACTCTGAAGTCTTTTGGATTTTACAACGGGTGATTCTCTAGTTGTCACTGGTGATTATCGTTTGAATCTTTCTGGATTCGCCATCAAATTGATAAGTTTAATTATATCAAGTGCTGTGAGAAAAGGCTATAAATCTCCACCTCCAACATCCTCGCACGCAATATAGCTTATACTAGCCGAGACTCTTCTTTATGTGTACAGATGTGACGTAATGACGCAAAGACATGCTCGAATTTCCCATGGAAATCCACCACTACCACTGAAATTAAAAACATTATTACAAGTTTACCTCTTTGAATCGAGCTAAGGCAAGTTTTAAACACTGGCTGGTTATGTATTTGCTCAAAGATTTATTTTGGATAATTTTTAACCCAAAAAAGTAACGGACTGCAGCTTTAAATACTGTATAATGACCCAATTTATACTATGAAAAATAGTGTGTAAAATATTATTGGGAAAATATTTAGCTTATGTTACATTAATTATCTAAGTGATTTTTTTTGCTTATGTTAATCTCATTTTTTATTCATTTTTTTTACACGGATTCCAGTTTGAAAACGCCTGAGAAAGAGGACGAGATAAATGAAGAGATTTTACCTCGCATGTATTCAATGGTGCCATCCAACACAAGATTCAACAGCGGGTCGAAGCCTTTTAAGACACCACTTGCTGAAAATAGGAAACAATGAATGTTAAATTCAATGTAATTTGGTTAAGCATAATATATTAATTATTTAAACCCCTATTTTATCTTATGAAGCAACTGTCTCACCTTCACGACCTCCTTGGAACTTTACTCTTATATGTTTGTCGATGTATTTCGACAAATCAAAAATACTCTCCTTCTTTTTCTTATCTTTATCCTAAAAATCAAAACCACATATTATATAACATAACATACCTGTGTGTAATATATCAGACCCAGTGTCTTATTATGTAGCTTAGCTCCTCAATAATACAAAACACATCAAATTTACAATAACCAGCAGGCTCTAGTGAGTACAGTTCGAACTTTCAGAGTTCACAAGACATTTATGTGCTTACATGTTTGTTTATAAAACCCATGCGACCATACAATCGTTTATAAAGTGAACGGTGTGGAAACGTTTGCGCTACTCACCGCCATGTTCAAAACTCCTCTACGCCCCGCCCACTCGGCGTTGACGTTTGACGCCTGCCTCTCGTCCAATCACAACACACGCCGGTGAAGTCAAACAGAAAAGATTTTTTATTTTATCAGCCTTAAACACCCACAAATATATATCAAACACAACTTCAATTGTATATATTTATCTTTTACGGTTGTTAAAAAATAAATATGCTGAAATACGATAATACGCGTGATTAGGTTGAGGCGCTCAGCACATCCGGTGAGAAACGGACAAACGCGGGAGCGAAGCGCGAAAAAACAAATGACTCGGTCAACAACTTAAAAACACGAAAAAACTGCTATTTTTTTATGATTATTATCGCTTTTTGTATTATTACATGAACTCAAAATGACGGAACTACTTTTTAACAAGAGATTACAGGTGCAGGTGAAGAATAGAGAGACCGATGAGAGGTAATAGTGACTGTGTATGTATATATTTGAACATAATATGACCTAAATGAGTGTTTGGGATTATTTTTCTTTAACTGTCATGTATGTTACAGTGTTTTGTTTTTGGAGACTATTAAGGGTCTAAATGTGTTTATATATTATGCTGTTTTAAATTACAGACGTTCAGTCATTCGCATCAGTATTGAACTGCAGCTATTATCAAATCCTGTCCATAGGAAGGTGAGAAATTAGCATTTGTACATCATTACTCATGAATGTAAAGCATTTGGTCTTATGTCTTTCTGTTTGTTTTATCAACAGGATTTGATTGTACGGCTGACGGATGATACTGATCTTTACTTTTTATACAATCTTGTGATATCAGAGGAGGATTTTCAGAGGTATAGTGATCTGATCTGATCTTTTTGTAAAATAATGATCCATATTTATTGTCAGCACAGTAATATCTGACTCAATGTGAGATTTTCAGTGTAATAATCATTATTTGCTTTCCTTCACAGCTTAAAAGTACAACAAGGGCTTTTAATAGATTTCACATCATTCCCACAGAAATTCATAGACTTGCTTGAGCAGTGCATCTCTGAACAGGACAGAGAAAACCCACGGTGAGAGATTATCTGAATATTATCTCTTATCAATCTTTTCTTAATGTGTATTGGTTGTAAGAACAGTTTCTTTTCAGGTTCCTGTTGCAGCTCACGTCAGCTTCATCAGCGTTCGACCACGGTCCTTCAAACCTTAATATTGTGGAGACAAATGCTTTTAAACACCTCACACATCTCTCTCTGAAACTGCTCCCGGGATCTGACACGGATATTAAGAAGTATCTGGCCACCTGTCTGTCTACTGTAAAGGTATCATCATCATGGACTTTGACTATGTCTTTATCCTGCTTGCTTGGATGAATGCATCTTTAATATATCTGTTTTCAGGAGGAAAAGCAGCTTTTGGAACAGAAGTTGAGAAAGACTGAGGAAGATCTGACAAGACAGCTAAATTATGCACAGCAAGTCAGTCAAATTCAAGATGGTTTCTCTAAAGTTAATTAATATATGAATTATTTATAATATAACCACCAAATTGTTATAAATTGAGCAAAACCTCACAAATTTATATTTATTATATATTAATATTTAAAAATGAATTGTACAACTACTATAAGTATATCCAAACTTACCCGCTTAATCTCAACTGCTTGATTGTTATATTGCCAAAAAACGTAAACTGCTATCGCCCAGCTTGATTGTAATATTTATTTCATCAAAAAACATAAGCTATATTATCTCCCAGCTTGAGTGTTATATTTAGTCAAAATACTTCAACTATATTATCACCCTTTTTGTCAAAAAAGTTAAACTATATTAACGCCTATTTTGTAAAAAATGTAAACTATATCATAACCTATTTTGTCACAAAGCGTAAAATATATTATCGGCCAGCTTGATTTGTTATATTGAGTCAAAAAACGTACATATCATCGCCCTTTTCCATCAAAAAAACGTAGCCTATTTTTTTGCCTATATCGTCAAAAAAAACTATATTATCTTTCAGCTTGATTGTTTGTTATATTTCATCAAAAAACATAAACCATATCACCTATTTTGTCAAAAAAACATGTATTATCTCATATTTTGTCAAAAAACATAAACTGTATTATTGCCCAGCTTGATTGTTATATTTCGTCAAAAAATGTAAACTATATTATTGCCCTTTTTGTCAAAAACTGTCAACTATATTATTGCCTATTTTGTCAAAAACCATAAACTATATAATTGCCTATTTTGTCAAAAACATATAAACTGTTATTGCCCAGCTTGTTTGTAATATTTCATCAAAAAATGTAAACTATATTATTGCCCAGCAATATATAAAAATTTGGATATATAGTATATCCTACTTTACCTGCATATAGAGTATATTCACGTAAAACAGTACATATAACAAATCTCAAATGCTTGACTTTTATTTTGTCGCAAAATGTAACAATATTATCGCTCAGCTCTAATCTGCTAAAGGCGAATATAAGGCATGAAGATATTAAGAAATGATAAAGATCATCAGTATGATTTTCTGTATAGCTGCTATATATAAATATGTATATAGTATTAGTATTAATTATATTATAATAATGTATTAACCATTTTGATTTTATAGTATTATATTGATAAAGTTAATTATTTATTACGTAATTATGTCTTTATTATTATTCATCCTGCAGACCCTGTCTGAGAAAAGTCGAGAGTTGGACAAACTGCGGTCTGAATGGACATCCCAAACGACGTCTCTGTCCAGCAGACACATGCAGGATCTCACAGCTGAGCGTGAAAATGCTCTGGAGGTGATCTGACATGGGCATTGACATTTGACATTTTCTTGATATGGGGAAAACATTTCAATAAGTTGCAAAAGTAAAAAATAAATGTATTTGAATATAAAATGCTTGAAGATGGAGTAAAACTTTGTGTAGATATATTAATATTGTATATATAGTAATGTAAAGTCCAGTTTCTATCAGAAAGCTAAAAACTTATATATTTGTAATTTTATCTCTTCAAAGAAGAGACTGATGTTATTTTTGAATTGTGTTATTAGACACAAGCGCGTCTGCAGCAGCAGAACGAACAGCTGCGACAGGAACTTGAGTCGTCTCATCACAGAAGCACCCAGCAGCTCCAAACCAAAGTCTCGGAGCTGGAAACGGCCAACAGGGAGCTCACCGACAAGAAGTACAAGAGCGACTCCAGCATTCGAGACCTCAAAGCCAAACTGGCCAGTCTGGAAGAGGTGCGGTATCTATCTAGAAGCATATGGTCTGACTTTCACAAGAAAATCTGATGGCATAACTTTGTGTTGTTTGTCCAGGAGTGTCAGAGGTCAAAGCAGCAGGTTCTGTCGCTGAGGAGGGAGAACAGCAGCCTCGACACCGAATGCCACGAGAGAGAGCGTCTGGTCAACCAGCTGCAGACGCGAGTGGCTGTCGTAGAGCAGGAGATCAAAGATAAAGACCAGCTCGTGATGCGGACCAGAGAGGTGCTGGAAGCCACACAGCAGCAGAAGGTCAGCACATTTCTGCCGAGAGGAAATCTGACACGAACGGATCCTTATATTCATTCATTTTATATTGATTTTCTTTGTTTGTTTGCTAGAACTCTGTTGAAGGAAATGCAGAAAGCAAGCAACTTCAGATCGGCAAGCTGGAGGCCACGGTAAAATCCCTGTCGGAGGAGCTCATCAAGGTCTGCGTCTGAATTTAACTGTGAATTACTCATAGCAGGGTTTCTGCGGGTGCTAAAAGTCTTAAGCCCCGTTCACACTACAAGCGACGCGATACCATTCATTTCAATGGTGAGCGGGCGACTTCCGGCGACACGCGCGACAGCGACCGTTGGCGACTAGATGGGGCGTGTCTGGCGACGCGACAAAGTTGAGAAATTTTTAACTTTATGCAAATGAAGAGCGATTTTCGCGAGCGACAACCAATAGGAGTGGAGCGCACGTGATCCTTCTCCTCAGCCCCTGGGCCTGCAGTGATGGATGAAAAATTGATCCTTGCGGTTAGCCGTGCTGTCTCCGAGCCCAAATGGTCTCGTGAACCCAGATAGACCGGCGTTTGCGCTTATGCCGTAGATAAACGGCCGCAACGAGAAAAATCGACCTCTGTGTCTCGTTCATCTTCATGCTTCACTACAGACGTTTTTATGTACGGAGTATATTTATATTTAGTATTTTCCCTCCAGAAATTGTGTTTTTTAGCGGCAAGAAAGCTGATTCGCTGTCTTTTGGATGTCATACTAGTCAACCATTAGTGGGAACGCCCACTAGCGACCTCATCGCCCTGGACTGGCGACTTGCAGCGACAAAGCCGCGTGTAGTGTGAACGGGGCTTTACACAAAATGACTACCTTAAAAAGGTCTTAAATCAGAGCTGAAAGTCTTAGCTTCATAAAGTCATGGCATGAAATGTTGCATGCATTGCAAAAAAAAGAGAGGAATATCTTCCTAGTATTTTTGTCCCGTTTTCAAATGCAAATATTTAAACAACTTTAAATCAATATACACTTAGGCCTACTTGAGATGCAAATGTAAAATGAAGTCTTGGAAAAACTGAACAAAATAATGAACTGAGTTTGTTTAAAACAAGAACAAATATCTGTCAGTGAGTTATCAAAACTGAATTGTTCTGAGCCCATTGGCAGTTATTTGTTCTCACTTGATCAATTTCACAGAAAACAAGACTTCATGTTTTGTCATTTTGTATGTCTAGTAAATGCATCTTGATTTAAGAATCTTTACACAAAAAAAGAGAAATACTGAGGAAGAGCATCTTTTTTGCAATGCGATCAGAAGATACAGTAAAACAGGGGTCTCAAACTCGCGGCCCGCGGGCCATTTGCGGCCCGCGGGGTGATATTTTGTGGCCCCCTACTTGACATTAAAGTTTAATGTTAGTGCGGCCCGTCGTTGCGTGTGCCGCGTAAAAAAAAAAAAAAAAAAAAAAAAAAAAAAAAAGTATCCCTTATGAGCTACAGATAGTCTCGTGACAGCTTACGGAGGGTTTGTTGTCAATAGTTGTCATAGACAACCGCGAAGTACAAACATACTGCGCCTGGAAAAAATGAGCGCGTCGCTTCAATTATGAGCGCGCTTGCCGCGCGCCTACATTTGAAATTACGAACTTGAGCGCGCAAAATATGTGAGCGCGATATGTGACGAACATATCTACCTCTAGCGGCCCCTGACTTAGCGAGCTACCACCAATCAGGCCACGAGCTACTGGTAGCTCGCGAGCGACGTGTTGGAGAGAGACACTGCTCTAAAACAATGTGAGAATAATCACTTTGAGCTTGTAATATGTGTCCAACAGGTTGATAAGAAGGTTTGCTTTGATTTGTGCAGTCAGTAATTTGAGACACTATACAAAGAATTCAATAAGATGGGCAGACATGACTGCAAATATTTGTATTTCAAAAGCAATAATTGTTTTTCTAAGTATAATAAAAGGAAATGTGCCTTCCAAAAAAAACATTCAATATCATTAATGTGTTGCATAAAGAAAATAAAAAGGACATAAGAAAATATAAATATCACAAATATGTGTTATAGACAAAGAAAGTTTGTAAAATGAACTTCAACTGTCAGAAGGACAGCTCATGAAGAACCAATCATGTACAGAAAGGAATGTTCAAATTCAGAGGAACAGTTCAGAAGAAACGTGAATAAATATTGAGAAGATTGGATCAGTTGTGCTCCTTTTTTGGAATACTTGAATACTATTTTTTTGAGGAATACTTGATGCGGCCCAGCCTGACCCAGACTCTACCTCTAGCGGCCCCCAGTTAATTTGAGTTTGAGACCCCTGCAGTAAAAGATAGTCCCATATTCAGAGCTATTCAAGCTACTTTTTTTGTAAAATGAATTAAAAAGTAATGAATATATCTGTTAGAAGTTGAATTTTTAAACCCTTAAGTGTTGCTAATACAACTCCTTGTATTTCTCATTTAGAGAACATGTTGACATTATGTTCCATTCAATTTATTACTTACATTTTCTTTACTTGGTCTTAAAAAGGTCTCAAATGTACCTTCATCAAACCTGCAGAAACCCTGTATACAGTCGGATTAATCCTGAATTCCCACTGCAGGCGAACGGCATCATCAAGAAGCTCCAGGGGGATCTGAAGGCTCTGGTGGGGAAGATCAAGGTGAAGAACACAGTGACCGTGTCTCAAGAAAAGATCCTGCAGGAAACTACGGAGAAACTGCAACGGGAGCAGCGAGAACTGCAGGACGCCCAACAACGGCTCCGACAGAAAGAGGAAGAGGTACCGTATCATCAACCCCACATCAATACCAACACGTGTTCCAGAACATTTCTTTTCACCAACAGTCTTTGTCATTTTTAGGCAACAAGATTAAAGGAGCAATTGGAAGCTACAATTCAGAAACTGGACGAGAGCAGGGAAGTGTTAAAAACCAATGAGAACGGTTAGTTCAATATATATATGTGTGTGTTTGTATTATTTTAAATGTATGTATTTATCTATGTTATTAATTATAAAAATATTTGTATTATAATTTTATTTAATATTATTCTGTTACCTTTTTAATAGAAATATGTATTATTTTAATGGAATATAATTTATTATGTACTATATAATTTTTCTTTCGCATCCTTATGCATTCATGTAGTAATAACTTGGCTGAACAAGCAGCTGAATGAGAACCAGCTCTCTCGGAAGCAGGAAACTTTGGGAATGTTCGAGACGCCCGCCGCAGGGCTGAGATCAGGAAGTGTCTCTCACAATATGGTAATCACACATCACTGAAAATGTAGCATGAATTTTTTGTCTGCTTGATGTAGCTGGATATATCATACAGTAACCATCAGTTTGATCGTTTGCATGTCAGATTGGACTTGTCTTTGAAATGATGTAGCCGTTCTTTTCTCCTCTAGCTTGATAGCAAAGGTTTCCCCTCGTCTTTGGGACAGGGTTTCCCCTCGTCTTTGGGACAGGGTTTCCCCATCACCTCTACAATAAACTCCAAATATCCTCTTCCTCTTTCCTGTGTGAGCTCAGGAACTCGCTCTGTCCTGTCACTGCACAATCAGACGTCTGGACCAAAGGCAGGCCTCGTCTCCTCTTCTCTCTCATACCATCTTTTCCTTCATGCATCTCCTGTTTTTCTGTGGTTTGATTGTCTCTATTATAGTGTCTGTTCACACTTCACATAATTCAGATTTTTTTTTACTTTAGTTGTTTGGTTGCATCTGTTTGTTGTAGTCGAAAATAGTGTTTTAACTGCATGGGTTGGTACAATAATGATGTTAGCAAGTAGCATATTTTTTATAGCAACAGAGCAGATGGAAAACTGCCATTTTGGCGTCTCGATGTATTTTCTCAAAAAAAATAATTTTCTAAACTAAATCTTAGGTCCAGTTTAACCCTATGAGTGGCAAACCTTCAGCAGCAGAAGTGAGTCCCTCTACACTCACCCAGCCGTCCAATAAAGAGAAGTGAGTTCCTCTTTAATTCATTCACTTCCTGATCTTTAATATAGCCTTGTGTCTGAGCTGTATCTCTGATCTGAACAGCGGAGAACCTGTAGGTCTGGACTCCAAGTACTTTGAGAGACGAGACGACAGCATTCCTCTCCGCGGTCTCCTACCCAGCATGCATCTAAATAGAGGCAGGCGACAAAAAGATTTTACCCAGTTATTCCTAATTGCTATACTTTTGAGGAGATTTAATAAATGTTATATTTAATATAAATGCCCTCTACCTGCAGAAGTCCCTAAGCCTTTGAACACGGCTGGAGCAAAAGCGGCACCGGCCGCAGCTTCTGCGTATTTCCCAGGATGACGAATAGCACGTTTATATGGACCTCTATTCATCACTACAGTTTGTGTGTGAACGCCACTACTAAGATGCTACGGCATTGCAAAGTATCCATGCAGATGATGGTCTTGTTTGTTTCAAATATTTTCAACAATTTATTAAAACAGATTTATTTTTAAAACCATTTCTCAATCTGTTTACAAAGAGATTCCTTGAATGATAACCCTAAACATAGGACCAGTTTGTCAAACTATAATGGTGCTGTTTTTGGTCCTTTAAGTCTACGGTGCCTAAAAACCTCTCTTCAGTGTCTTAAACTTGTTTGTGCCATACATGAACCGTCTCTGAAAGAATGAACTCACCTTTTGCCAAACCATCAGAGAGCTGCCGTTTTGTATTCTCAAATAGTGCTATTCATTCAATTGACTTTTTTATTGAAGTTTTAAAGTACTTGATTGGTTGACGACAAACTGACTGTGGTTTGCTGTGTAAAGCTGTATATATATCATTGTGTGTACATTTATATTATTGTATTTATGGTTTAATATAGTGAACTTTGTAATGTTTATCATGGATTGCAGTTTGGCTGCTTGTTCATCAGTAGCAAAATTTTAGGACAAGTGAATAAATTCTAATATGCAGTTTGAAAAATTGTTTTTACTATGGAACTGAAGTATAAAAACACAACGATCGCACATACAGCAAAAATATTCAACTTTTATTGAAATGCATGTTTAGATACTTTGACATATTTACATTGGTCAAAAAAAAAAACGATACACCATGTTAAAATTTATTATTAAGACGGCACAACAAAACCACAGAACATAAAAAAAGCACACTTTATTCTGAGATGAAGAGAATATATTACAGGAAATCATCTCAAAAATATCCAAACCACACAACTAATATTACAGATGAACTCATCTGTCTTGTGTCAATAAAATATAAATTTGGTCAAATGTATCTTAAAACAAGCCATTCATCTGTCTATGAAAACCAAAAAATATAGAAAGGCCACTGGCAAATTTCACCTTTTTCTCAAATGTTACTTTGTCAGTTGGCATTTAGGAAGTGTTTTGCGTAAACGTACATATTTTTCGTAAAAGAATGTTTCTACACAAGGCCAAAGCGAATCCAGACAAATGACGCGCCATGTATTTCAGTTTCACTACTGGTTTAGAGTCAGTTCTACCGCTGTTATACGAAACTCAACTTCAGTTGTATAAGAAAGGCTGAGGCTGATCAGAACTCCCAATCGGAAGTTACAAGCATCACTTAAATTCACCAGTTTCCGTCAACAACACAATTTAAGCTGGGGAAGGCACCATTGATTCTAAGTGGTATAAAGAAAACAGGCATCAGCTTAAACAAACGACAAAAAAAAGAAACTTTAAAGCTGTACCACAATCATTCCAATGCAATGTTTGTTTGTCAAAGTCTGAAACTGAACTCCGTTAAGGCCATTCGCGTGGAAATCCGTACAATTATGCTCCCTAAAAAAGGTCACTGGGCCTCAAGAACGACAAGCGAATTTCAACGAAGGTTTTACGAGTGATTTACAGAAATTCGCTCTGCTTAAATTCTTACACGAACAATTTCAAACTCAAGAGTTTTGCAAAGAATTTACATAAATCATTCAACTTGAATTCGTATGAATGTTTTTACAAAAATTCTATCGGCATGAATTCTTACAAATGGTTTTACGACTGATTTACTCAGATTTTGTAATTAGTTTTATGAATGGATGTACACCAATCTGTTCCACTCAAAATCTTGCAAGTAGTTTTACGAATGCTTTACACAAACTTATTTGGCTGAAATTCTTACGAATAGTTTTACGAATTAAAATTTGTTCTACGCAAATTCTTGCAAATAATTTTAGAAAACGATTTACACCATTTTTTTCCCATTTCAAAATTTATGAATGTTTTTACGAACGAGTTACATGCGTTTGTTCTATGTGAAATTCTTGCGAATAGTTTTACAAGCGATTTGCACAAATTCGTTCTGCTTGCGTTTCATGAATGACGCCTTTTGTTTGTATGTATGCAAGTATGTTCTCTCCAGGCTCTTCTGATAAGGAGAACACCTTGTGTCCGGAAACATTCCTGACCGGGTTAATGTCCCTGAGTGAGCTATGGTAAATGAAGAACTATATATAAAAAAAAAAAAGAGCAACAAAAAAAAAAAAAAAGGCAACAAAAAAAAAACAATAAAAAGAATAAATACAAGCCATTGCAATAGTGCCTTTGGACAGAACCGTCGTTAAATATATGTTCTTCTATATACATTTCTTTTAAAAAGTGGTGCTCTATTCATGATACAATAGGGACGCCTAGTCTTAATCAGAGACTTTCCTTCTTGCAGAGTTCACACACCTGTCTGTAATTTTCATGCTTAATTAGCAAGTTTAAAACTCTGCAGGAAGGTAGAGCTCTAGGTGCAAGACTGTGCATGCCTTCGATATAGCTTTACGTTTCAATAAATGACAACAGCCTCCATGCGCAGTTCGTTTCTCAATGGTTAGGGGGCGTGGCCAATACAGCCACATGAAAAACACCCAATCACACGTTAGTGTCCTGTAGGAGGGGCTCTTTGGCCTCTCCGGGTGGGTGGGGACTGTGCGAGTGCCCGTGGGGTGATGTGGGCTTCTTCCAGCTGCCCGCACGAGTGCCCATATGGGGGTGTTCGGGAATAAAAAGAGCCACCAGGAGCGCCAGCAGCACAGAACATGCGCCGAAGAGGAATGGCGGTCCTGGGATTATTGAACTCTGTGAGGGGAACACATGAGGCGGGAACACGGTAAACACAATGGCAAGACCTCTTCCCAAAACAGTCTATGGTGAAGGCCTATTTACACCTAAATGTTCGTAACATGAATATGCGCAATGACTTTTTAAAATGCATCTCTATGAACTCACACTGTGCATGAAACTCCGTACAGTGACGATTCACTCATTTTCACATGTGGAGACAGGAGTGAGTTTTTAATTGCTTGGATAACAAATATTTTGCAATTTTACTGATGATTTACAGAGATTTGTTTGGCTTAAATTCTTGCAAATAGTGTACTCCACAATTCCTTCAAGTATCCAAATTTTTTTTTTTTTAGAGAATAATGTAAAATGTGCAATTTTACAAACAATTTACACAAATTGTTTCTGCTCAAATTATTATGAAAGATTCTACGAACAGTTAACAGCAAACTCATTCTGCTTGTTTTCTTGCTAATTGTTTTACAAACTATTTAAATTTTTTCTCTGGACTTAAACGGACTTGAATTTTTACAAATTATTTTGCTTGACTTTTGCTTGAAGTTTTACGAGGAATTTACACAAATTGGTACTGAATAATTCCTTCAGGTATTCAACCATTTTTCCACGTATTTTCAGAGAATAATGAATAACTTGTTTCAGAGAATAGCGAAAATTCTGCAAATTTAACCAATTGGTATTGCACAATTCCTTCAAGCATCCAAATATTTTCTATGAATAATGACAATTCTGCAAATTTTACAATTTGGTTCTACTCAAATTCTAACTAATGGGTCTACGGACATTTAACAAACTCATTCTGCTTGCGAATAGTTTTACAAATTATTGAAATGTATTCTTCTTGACTTAAGAATAGTTTTAGGAACAATTTACACAAATTTGTTCTACTTGAATTAGTTTACATTTTAATGCTTGACTTCTTAAAAATGGTTTTACAAGCAATTTACCCTAAGGTATTCAACCATTTTTTCAGGTATATAGCTTTTTCAGAGAATAACAAAAAATACACATTATATTTTATTTACAAACAAAATACACAAATTGGTTATGCTTCAATTCGTATGAATGTTTCTATGAACAATTAACAACAAACATGTCCTGCTTGAATTCTTGCAAACGGTTTACAAATGATTTAAAACAACTTTATTCAGTTTGATTTGTGGAGGCTAGGTTTTGTTTGTAATTGCAAATTCATTCAGGTATCCACCTTTTTCAAATAAATTATGCATTGCTATGAAAAATCGTTTGCAAGTATTTTATACTTGAGTGTTGTTTAGCTGCATTGGACTTCATCATTTTAACTTTGGCAACTATTATTTAAAAAAAAACATGTAACTATTAAAACAAACCTAATAACAACATAAACATCATTCAACATAGTTCAGTTAAATGCAACGATGTGCGGGACCTTACCTGTTGGTGGGGATCATGGTGATGCGGTATATCCGGGTCTTTCTCTGGAACTTGGTCCAACTCGACATGAAAGATGTAGAAGATGAAACCGTAGAGGGCCGGACCCAAACCATTACACAGCCCACGGATTCCCGTCACCATACCCTGACCCACGCCTACAGAAACATGAGCTTTAGCAGTCGGCCTCAAAGAATATGTAACTTCACTTCAAGAAAACCTACCTTGTTGATCCGGATCAGCTGTGCGGGAAATCAGGGCGCTAACAGCAGGGAAAGTGATACTAGACATGGCGGCAACTGCTCCGGCTGCCCACATCATCCTGGAAATTAGGACCGATTTCATTAGTAAAAACTCATTAAATGTTTACATTACTCTTAAAGGGATAGTTCGGCCAAAAATGATATTTAACACATGCATTACTCACCCTCAAGCCGTTCGAGATGCATATGTCAATCTTGTTTCAGACGAACACATTTTCAGTTATTTTAGAAAATGTCTTAGACCCTTCAGTGGATATAATGTGAAGCAATGGGGTCCACCTCCTTCAAGTCCCAAAATGAGCATACATCCTTCACAAAAGTAATCAATCCGGCTCCTGGGGGATAAACGAAGGCCTTCTTAGGGTAATCCGTGCGGTTTTGTCGTAAAAATATACATATTTAAAACTTTATAAATGAAAATATCTGACTTCCGGCAACAATCGACGCGCGTTCACGGGTGATGGAAGTCGGCATACGAGGTAGGACGTAGCGTAGGAACCGTCGTGACGTAGACGTTGTTTTGCTCTGCTCTCTGGCTGCGCAGGCGCGTTCGTTCTACGTCACGACGGTTCCTACGCTACGTCCTACCTCGTATGCCGACTTCCATCACCCGTGAACGCGCGTCGATCGTTGCCGGAAGTCAGATATTTTCATTTATAAAGTTTTAAATATGTATATTTTTACGACAAAACCGCACGGATTACCCTCAGAAGGCCTTCGTTTATCCCCCAGGAGCCGGATTGATTACTTTTGTGAAGGATGTATGCTCATTTTGGGACTTGAAGGAGGTGGACCCCATTGCTTCACATTATATCCACTGAAGGGTCTAAGACATTTTCTAAAATAACTGAAAATGTGTTCGTCTGAAACAAGATTGACATATGCATCTCGAACGGCTTGAGGGTGAGTAATGCATGTGTTAAATATCATTTTTGGCCAAACTATCCCTTTAAAGCAACAGTTTAACTGAAAAAGAGAAATGGCATCATTTATGCCATTATTCAAAACATTTTATTTTTTCCATTACTTATTTTACACTGAGGCTTTTGGTCTTACCATGGCTCAGATCCGAACCCGTACCAGGCGAGTTGCAGAATCTGAAATCCCAGGCCCAGCAAAATTGTGTTCTTGTTCCCGATGGAACGCATGAGTAAACTTAACACTACAGTCTGTAGGTGGAAAGAAAAGTCACATTCAACATCATCCCCCTATTATAAAATAATGAAGTAAAGATCCTTTATTAACATGTATCCTACTGACCTGTGCAACAATAGACAGCAATCCTAGAACAGCGATGAACGCAGCAACACTTTCAGGGGAAAATCCCATTATCTGGATAAGAGGGTCAAACAATAAACCTTTACAGTCCTGTTTGTTATCAGGATTTAAAAAAAAACTAGACCTCACCCTCTAAACACAACTAAAACCTGAGTTAAAGATTAACCACAGAGATAAAGCAAATCTGCCCGTTGACGAACCTGTTGCAGGTACAGGAAGAAGCTCGAGTATTGTCCAGCTTCAGGCAGATACGACAGGAACACTGTTATACAGATGAGCAGAACCGTCGAGTCTTGACCCACCTTCCTCAGAGACTGTGGAGAGAAACAGACTCCTGTTTAGAACCAAACTGGGTGAATGTAACACTTTAAACACTTAACATAATATTTATTTATTTTTTATTAATTCTAGATGCTCATTACGGTTTAATATCTAGCCCATTTAAAATGAATATTAATAAACTATAATTAAACTATTTAACACTTTAAAATACTATTATAATGCATTTAAAATTACTGATTTTAGTTTTTGTAGTGTTTAATATCAGCCATTTATCACTTTATTGGCTGATGTAATATAAAAAATTATTATAAAAATCTGCATCAGGTGGAATTTTAATATTGATGCATCCCTATTTGTAAAGGTATCGCAACCATGATACATTGAGATGGTTCAATTTTAAATGTGTTTCAAGATCACATGTTTAACAGACCTTTCTCTTCTAAAAATAACCAATCAAAACCAAGAACACTGTGGTGGAAAACTGTAACAGGCTTCGCAGGAACTCTTCAGAGCAAACCACGTGTGAAAACTGCCTTATATGACACGCGTAAGCAGCGCACAGATCTATTGCAGCTTTAAAAACTCCATTATGTCAACACCTCAAACTGTGGAGGGGCAAATGGGCGTAAAAATACTTCCCTATTGAAAACCACACAGGATATGAGCGAAGTGTTGTGCCATTTCTCTCTTTTAAAAAACAAACAATACATGTTTCCAACCACACTCATGCTGAAGGTTCTGCATCTGCAGTGCATTTAACATCTTTAATAAATTCCAAAGTGAAACGGATTATTCGGTAGGAACCGGTTCGGGAATAAACTGGACTGTGAAAAGTGGATTGTAATATTATTGCACCAAGCAAGTACAAAGAGGTCAGATCTACTTACAGCAAAGGGGTCAGCTTGTTCCCACGAGATGGGGGCGCCCCAGGACGCCGGCCTCATCTTTTCCGGAAGTGACTCGGGCACGGCCACCAGGATAAAGCAGATGTCCAGCATAGCGATGGCAGAAGCCAGAACCACCACCAGACTGTCTCCATAAACCTGACTCAGATACGCGCCAATGGCCGGGCTGATCACGAGACTCGCCGCAAACGTGGCAGAGACCTTTTAGAAAAAGCACAGACACATTAATGCAAAAAAAAGAGGGGTATAAAGAGAGATGATGATGATGATGTGTTGATGGGTTATACGCACCATGCCGTAAGCCATACTGCGCTCATGCTCTTGAGTGATGTCGGCCACATAGGCGAATATAACCGAGAAGGTAACGGCAAACACTCCAGATACAGAGATAACGGCAAAGTACCACCTGAAACACAAGAACGCTTTAAAATCTTTCTATGCATGTGATTTAAGATGTGCATATGTATTACAAAATACAAAACAGACCGATATATCGATGAGATATTTGGGCTCTTTAAGTAGTTCTCAGTATAATTTTATGTAGCCTATTAGGGTTGTGCGATGTCTACCAATATGGCATCAGACGATGTGTACAGTGAAACATCGCGATGGACGATGATAACGGGAGGAGGGGCGGGGGTAACATTCAAATTTTTCACTTAAGCAATGCCCCGCAAAGCCATGTCTTACAGTGGATTTAGCACAGCTAAGAGGCGTAGGCACAACGCGAAGATATTTTCCTCTACATCTCATCAGCAATTTTGATTTTGGCACGCTCTGCAGCAGCTGAGCACGAAGAGCCAATGTACAGTGACGTGACAGAACTGCCAGATTCACACTGCTTTCGCGCTTTGGCTGGCGCTGAGCCAGAGACGGACGCGCTCAACGCTTGTCATATATCACAACTATTCAGTGTTTTTAACCACATAATGTTTATTTTAGGTTTCAGACATTTAAAAACATATAATATATAGCAAAACAATACATTTATAGTTTGTAAAATACACAATGGTGTCTATGGAAGCAGCAATAACAACCCATTCACATATTTTTCCAGACGGGTTTTATTAATATCAGACACACAGTGTAAGTAACTATAAAGTCAACTCTATTCTTCTCCCCAGTTCACCGGCCATGTATTTCGGTAGAAACTGATGAATTCACGTGCTGTAATATACCCAAAATCGCGATGCTGGCTTAATATCGTGATGTCTGTCAGCCATCACGATGGACGATGATATCGTCTATTGGCACAACCCTATAGTCTATATGACAAACTTGCGCTGCACATGTTGCACGTAATTATATTTTCCTTGTCCATTATGATTCTAATCATATTTCAGGCAATTAAAAAACATCATGACGAACTGAAGTGTCTCAGCTTAAGGAAATAATACATTATTTATCTGCCTTAATATATTGGCCAAATTTTCTTATTAGGCCGATAATGATAACATTAAAAATGAACATATATCGGCCGATACTGATAAGGTGGACGATATATCATGCATCTCTAATTTTATGTATATTTCGTTTGCAAAAATAATTACAAAATTTAGATGAGATAAGATTAGTTAAATATCACATTCATTTCAAATTAAATACTGAAATTACTAAAAGTAAAACTGATATAAAAATAAATTAAAGTTAAACTGAAATTTTTAAAAACTAATAAAAATTACAAAAGCATGTAATTAAACTATAATAAAAGCTCATTAAAAGTATGAATAAATATCATAGTAGATAAATCATACTAAATTAACTGTTGTCAGGACAAATACATTCAGATATTCAAACATGGTAAACTTAAACATGAAAAATTAAACCTTGTTTATCTTTTTTTTTTTTTGTCTAATGGATTTTTTATTTAATTAAAAAATTATATTACATTAAAATTAAATGTATACATTTCGTTTTATTTTATTATGTATACACAGAAATAAATGGCAAGACTTTACAATGAGGTTTCATTAGTTAACATGGACTAAGAATGAACAACACTTCTACAGCATTAATTTGAGCTAATGTTAATATCAACATTTATTGATACATTATTAAAATCAAAAGTTAACATTAACAATACTTAATGCACTGTGAACTAACATGAACAAACAATAAACGGTTATATTTGAACCAACAAAGATTAATAAAAGCTTAAAAAATATATTGCTCACTGTTAGATCATATTAGCTAATGCATTAACTACTGTTAACAAATGAGACCTTACTGTATATATTTTTTTACCAAACAGATATACAAAATATTTAGTTTTGTGTCCAAAAAAAGAGAAAGGTAACATACCACGGGCTGATCTTCATTAAAGGAATTGGAGCACACGTGAAGAACACAGTGAGCAAAAGAAAGGACTTCCTTCCCCACACGTCTGACAGAGCACCAATCAGAGGAGCGCTTAGAAACGACAGCAGGCCCTATGAACAAAAGCATGCAGTTGATGAGTTATGAACTCGACTCAATAATAGATCTTTTACAGGAAGAAGTTAAAGATGATACCTTAACCCCCTGAATCAAGCCATTCATGAGAAACGTGTGTTTCGGGAATGTTTCATGAAGAGCCTGCAGTCACATGACACAAAAACAGCATCGGTTATGACGCGCATGCAAGTGTATTTTGAACTTTTTTACATGATCATATTACTCAATATAATAACAGGGGCATACAAAGGGTTTCTAAACACGACACTTGATATGAAAATAAAATCTCGCTTCCATTACGATGTTTTTCTTCATACAAAAAAAAGCTTATTTCTGTTTAAAACAACCACAACTTACTCCCAAAGTAGGTGCTGTCAGCAAACCCCAAGCGAAGAACTCCAGAAATATGACGATAACAGCATGATAAACACTGGGGGCGCCGAAGCCCTGAGGCTGGAGAGAGAAGAACCAGAGACGGTAACCAACCAGCATTATTACACATCCATAAAGCTTCGGTTTGGTTTTCACAACAGATAAGGTCTGTTTGTGGCCTAATCCTTTCACAAGAGATTAAGACGTTTATGCAATATTTTTTTAAGGTGCCAACCTGTGCTGATTCTGGCTTATTAGGTACTGTACTTATTAAAAAAGGAACAATAAACACAAAAAGGAACTAGAGCAACTAGGTTCAAATTAAGACCATATATAGACTAAACCAAACAAAATTGTAACTGATCTTGAGCGCCAGTGAACAGGACAAAAACTCATACGTTTCAGCCAACAATTGTGTTTTTAAGCATTTCGGACAAACCCATTGACCCTTACAATGTTTATTATCAATGGCCTATTTGTAAAGAAATGGAGGTTTACAGGGAGTATTGTAAGGACACGTTTACACGACAATGTACTAAAAACGGAAAAGGTTTTCCCTCGCGTTTTTCGCATACAGATGACAATGTTGTCAAAACGATCCCGTTCACACAGATCCACGAAATAGAATAAAAATGCTGTATTATTCATGCCAGGCCAGTAGATGGCGATGTCACTTTGTAAAGAAACTCTTCACGCCTACACACTGAACACGTAATTCACGTGCATGATGTCACTTTTCACAAATTAGTTTTTGTAGTTTACACGGAGACGATAACGGTATCGCTTTCAAAAACTTGCACCTGTTTTTATTTTATTTTTAAGTTTGCGTTTTCAGGCCCCCAAAACGCTGTCGCCATGTAAATTAATTCCATTTTTAGTTGAAACTTGTGTCGTGAAAACGGCCCCTAAAACGATTAAAAAAAATTTCAGTAATAAAGCTGAAATAAAACAAAATATTTGATGAAAACATTACACAAAAATTGAAAGCACAGAAATATTGCTTTGATAACGAACTGAAATAAAGCTAGCTTAAGTTGAAATTCTAAATTATTAAATCAATTTGAGATAAAAAACAAAACAAAAGCATAACAAAACAAAACCACATAGCAAAATTACTAAAACAAACTAAAATTAGGCTACATTTTTATAAATAATACTTTCATGACAAATACATTCATATCCAATAGATATCTGACAGACGGGTATCATCACATATCTATCTTTACAAATTATACTGTAACAATACTATAACAATAACAATATGCTTTGAAATATGATGATGATGATGTTTATTTCAAACCTGGATTCTAGTTTCCTCACAAATCAACATAGCATAATACTGCATTATACTAATTATCTACCATGTATAGCATAATACTGATTATCGACCATGTTATTTGCATAAGAAATAGCATGAAATTACCATAGTGTCACGCAAAAACCATGGTAACTCTATGCCTAGCAATACTATGATCATTTTTATTGATATTTTGTTTGAACTTCATCATAATAGAGAACCATATAACAATTTAAGTCTTGTTAAGCCGTTTTATGTGATTTAAAAATAGAAAAGAAATTATTTTATTTACAGCCACTCAGCCAGTCATAATGACATCTTGACATCTTTAACACGCTCTAATGTGTCATCAAACCATCTGAACATTAATATAATAACGCATGTAGTGATTTAAATCGTTAATCTTGACATTTATGCGTGCTGGTATGATTTATTGGTAATTACAGGAAGTAAATGCTGATGTTTACAGCCACGATGAATGACAAGTTACACTCCTCCAATAACGTTATATTCTCAAAGCATTTTTTCTTTCAAACATTAACACAATAATTATGTATACTTAAGACCTAAACCGTCGTGTCTTAGTGTTTATTGTGGTTAAATTGAGCAAAAACTCACCGTTCCTCCATCCTTGATGATGATTTTCTTCGCCAGTAACAAACTGCGATTCACTCGCTTCTTCTTCTTCTGGGTCATATTATCATCCTAGTTCTTCACACTAGGTTAAAATCGGGTTCTTTTTAACGTAAACGCGTGTGCATGGATGCGGAGCGGGATATAGAGGAGGGAAGAGGGGGGAATTTTACGAATATCGGTTTGTTTTCCGTCCATTCAGTATGGCATCATGTACACAGCAGCAGCCATCTTCCCGAAGAGAGACGCATGGTTTGCGTGATGACGTCGGCATCATTCGATTCCGCCTGGCCTGCACACGTGGTCAAAACCTTTTACAGTCTATGGTCAAAACACGAATATACGAGTAAAAAGCCACTAAAGCCAGTATATTTAAAATACAATTCTATTATGGCCAATATTTATTATATAAACTATTTGACTATTTTACCTTTAACTTTAGCTTATTTTTCATGATTTCTCCATTTTCTTTGAAGTTCACGGAAAAAAACACTAATAATAAAGATATTATTATAATATTTAATATATTTATAGTTTAACCAGAAATCACTACTGCATGTCTTATTTATTTGATATATTAACTTTCCCTGCATTCAAAATAAAATACTGAGTAGTTACTACATTTGAATTTGAATGTTCTTCTATATAGAATGGATATGGGCAGTGGAGTCTGGACATACTAAATCCTCCATGATGTTACTGTCACGTGACCTACTAGTGTCACTTAAAAACATTATGTGACTAAATAAGATTCTGAAGTGTGCATAATGAACACTTTACTATCCCATGAGGCCACAGAAGAGGATTTGTGAATGGCAGTAAAGCGACGTAACTGACACTGACACATGATAATGACAACATGGCGAATGTAGTACGTACAGATTACATTCATACTATATAAAACATATTTTTTTTTAGTGGTCGTGAAGTAATTACTTTTAGACCAGCCACTGCCATTCTCCCCGTGGCCTCATGGGATAGTAAAGTGTCCATTGAATGCATACTTCAGAATCTCGTTGGAAGTAGTAGGTCATCCGGGGAGTTTTCGCCTACTGTTTTTCGAATACTATGTAGTCGGACACACTACACTGTTGGCGTACTGTTTTTCACATACTATAGGTAAGTATTCAATTTCGGATGCAGGGCTTGACTTGATTTAGTACACTTGAACTTTGAATAGGGTGTTCATGAATAAGCCAGTTAAAATGGAGTGGTTTTAACTACATTACCGATGACAGACCACTTACACTTTTTGGACGCATCTCATGTGCATGTCCATTAAATCACAAACGCAAAACATCAATGTTAAAGAATTTTATTTTGCATTGAACAAAAGCATGTTTGATGGTTTTGCAGTACCATACACACAGGAATCTGAATTCAGTCCCAATGACAAATCCCTTCAGGTTGAAGATTTGGGATCTCAGAAATATTCACAGGTCAAATGTGCCTCACTGTCCTCTACAACATATTCATATTTACAAGCTATAAAAACAAAAAACAACAGACCACAGCACATAAATACCACACACATTACAGTTTCTGTCATGTAGAAGCTTTAAGCAATAAATAATAAATATGCAACGAAAACCTACATTTTTAGGTCTAGTAATGTAATACCGCTATCATTTAATGAACAATTTTTCTTCTCTGCAGTCTCAGGAAATTCTCTTTTATTGCGAGGACTAAACTACTACCAGTTCAAATCTGGCAACTACTGATAATGAAAAATTAAATTTATAGGCATCCGATACTGCAACCTTTCTCTCTGTTTTTGAGCATCTAAAACCGTATAGTGAGTCATCCACACATTAACATGCTACATTCAGTGATACGTATGTGCCAACTGCTGGTGTGAACACTCTGGACTTCACTCAACGATAAAACAAACATATACGAACCGAAAATGACAAATACCGTTTTCTTCTCTGAGATGTTCTTGTGGGATTGAAGACTCCAGTTTCCTGTCAAGCAAATTTGAAATGGAGGGTTATAAATGACAATGATTTTTGGCATTATGTGACTCTTGCTGTTACAGGAAACCATGGCAGTCATATTATAAGAACAACCCTTAGACAGGAAACCATGGCAACATTACAATAGGAACAGCTCAAGACCAGAAAACATGGCAGCTGAGTTACAGGGATAATCCTCAGGGTGGAAACCATGGGAACCATGTTATTGGAGCCACTGTCAGATTGGAAACCATGGCAACTGTGTAATAGGAACAACTGTCAGACTGGAAACCATGGCAACTGTTATAGGGGCAACCGTCAGACTGGAAACCATAGCAACTGTATTATAGGAACAACTGTCAGACTGGAAACCATGGTAACCATTTTATTGGAGCAACCGTCAGACTGGAAACCATGGTAACTGTGTTATAGGAACAACTGTCTGATTAGAAACCATGTTATTGGAGAAAATGTCAGACTGGAAACCATGGCAACTGTGTTGTAGGAACAACTGTCAGACTGGAAACCATGGCAACTGATTTACAGAAACATTTCTCTGCCTGGAAACCCTGGCAACCATGTTACAGGAACAACTGTCAGACTGTAAACCATGGCAACTGATTTACAAGAACATTTCTCGGTGTGGAAACCATGTTATTGGAGCAACTGTCAGACTAGAAACCATCAGACCCTCAGAAAAGAACCCATGTCAACTGTGTTACAGGAACATCCGTCAGACCAGAAACCATGGCGACAGTGTTATGGAATAAATCTCAGACTGGAAATCAAGACGATTGTGTTACAGGAACATCCCTCAGACTGGAAACCATGGCAGCTGCATTACAGAACACTCCTCAAGACTGGAAACCATAGGAACTGCATTACAGAACAACCCTCAGACTAGAAACCATAACAACCTTTAGGCAGGCTGTTACAGTAACAACAGTAAAAACAAGAGGGATCCATGGCAACAGTGTAGAAATGTATAAAAGAAGATGTTTACAATCTACAAAAGAAGCTGTCCTATAGTAATCCTGCAGAAGATTTGTTTGTTTTATATATATTAACAAAAGGGAAATAATAAGGAGTGAGTTGATGTGGATGGACAGATGCGTGATAGAACGTTCCGGTGTTGTTTTAGGTTTCAGGACTGGATTTACAGCTACTCCACAGCCCTGTTCATCATTTTCTTTTCTCGCGTCTCTCTTTTTCTTCTAGTAGTCTTTCCCACACAATCGTTTGACTCGTTTCGTCCCTCAGTCGAGCTTGCTGAGGAAGTCGAGCAGAGCGCGGTGGAACTCGCGGGGTTTGTCCATGTAACAGGCGTGTCGTGCTCCCGCCAGCTTTACCGCGGTGTGATGGGGCAGCTGAATCAGGTTCTTATGCGATTGGGCGCCCAGGTTGGTGTCTAACTCCCCATATACGATCAGCGTTGGAGTCTGTCATACATACAGGAAGTAAGAGTTAAAACAAGTCAAGGAAATCCTAAGTGTAAGATGATTAGAAAGAAACACGGCACCTGGATGTCGCGGTACTGCTGTGGGGTGATGCCGCGGGTACCCACGGGGGCGATGGGCACAAAGCCATGCAGCTGGGCGCTGTGTTTCTGGAGGAACGGCAGGGCGTAATGGCCGCTCATAGACGGGCTCAGTAACACCGGCGCTCGCACGCCCAGAGCTTCCAGAAAACGCTTTAGAAGGTCCACGCGGCTCTGATCCGACTTTACCGACTCTGAATCTGGAGAATTCCCGAAACCTGAGGAGGAGCGAGTCGGTTTAGTGATCTGCTTTATATGTATTCAATGAATGAGCAATATGCAACATATCAAGATCAAGTAAAATGAAGTAATGAGTAAAGATTTTTCTAGGCGACTAACAGTCATCCATTTAAGCTATTAGTCAACTAATCACACGTTTATATTAATTCAATTACTTAAATATATACTGGGGGAATGCTAAACCATAATGAATGTTTAATAGAGGCGTAATATATTACACGCTCATGCGCACGCATAAAGCTTGCCGCAAAGCACTGGCAAAAGTCTGGATTATGAATGTGTCGGAAAAAATAGCGAGGAGACATTTTGTGTTTTCTGAGACAGTGTCGGTGCTGACAATGGCGATGCTGACTCGACCTCTCCGCAGTAGCCTAGTGAACGCGCCTTTAGAGAGAAATGCACCTTTCATATAGATTACATAATCAGAGAGCATTTGTTTTCGATATTTCAAGCTTTCTATAGATATATTTCTCATGCCTGTGAGGCAAGTAGTAGCCTGTACGCTGAGTTTGGTTTATTTTTTGTGACGTGCTCCAGTTCACGTAGGACATCAGTAAGCGCATCCTGTTTGTTTTCTTTATTTTTAAAAAGCACAAAGTTTTGTTGTTACTGTGAGTTTACACAAATAAAAATTTTCGAATGATGCATTACTCTTATCTGTATGAACAAAAATGACAGAGAATTTTAAGTTGTTTCTGCTGTTATCAGGAAAAAAAATGTATATCAGGACAAAAACCAGGAAAAAAGTCGTCGAAAATATGTCTGTGTGTCATGCAGTCCGAACAAACACTTGGATATGCGCCTTATAATAGCGCACCTTTATTACCTTCATATTAGAGCTCGATAGATGATAGGCGAACGTTTGGATTTCCCGCCCGTCATACTGTAATTACCACAAGGATCCGCCATTAATGATCTGTCACGGACAGCATGACTTCACCACTTCCTGTGGAGTTTTATTTTTGCGACTAACAGACTAATACAATTTTGGTCGACTAAGCCTCTTCTTGTCGACTAACGTTTAGTTGACTATTATGGGGCAGCCCTACTTATAAGTTTACAGAGCTCATACCGGGCAGGTCGAGCGCGAGGGCCTGGTACCCGTTGGACGCCAGTAGGCTGAGGGTGCCCAACTCCTCCCAGGTCTTAGAGGTGAAGGCCTGACCATGAAGCAGCACCATCTGCAGCCTGAGGACGAGAAGATACACTGACTGAAACTCAGCAGAACAACAGGTCATATAGAATTAAAATATTTATTTGCAGAATTTAGCAAGTTTGGAAGTTACCATTGGTTACCACAGTTTCCATTAAAATACCACAGTCAATAGCGACAGATCTTTTCTTATGTATTGTGACAAACGGATTATCAAAAATTATCAGAAAAGTTAGTTGATTGGATGGACCTGAATGCGAACTCGCAGTCGATTGTAAGAAAGGGGCAGGTTTATGTGGACTAAATGATTGAAGAAATCTGGCATACGTCACCAGAGAGAAGTCTGACAATTCACCAGAACATCATGTAACATTCTGATGAAGAATTCCCATTTAAAAAAAAAGAACATTCATGGATGAATCGTTCACAATAAGATCAATAACATGCTTAAGAAAAGAAATAGGGTGACTTTCCATTTCATGCTGATGTTACTTCTGCACTGTGTGAGCAGTGCTACGTACATCTACGCTATTCACAATAAATCATTTTTTGCATGCAAAATATCGCTATTGTGAAACACTTTTACAAAGGAAGTCTAAGGGGCAAGGTATGGAAGTTTCCGGCACAGAATAAAAAAAGAAAAAAGCTAATTGCAACTTTTCTTGTCACAATTCTGCCTTTTTTCCCTGACAATTGCACGTTTAGCCCCCAGTTTCACAGACAAGGCTTAAACCTTGTCCCAGACTAAAATGCCTGTTTTAACTGAGAGGAACTTGACCTGACAGATTTAAAAATATGTCAGTGCCATTGTTTTGCCTCAAGATGCACACCAGTAATGTTTTTTTCTAAGGCACGTTTATTAAAGCTGTAGTTAAGGCGGTAGTTAATTATTGTTACTCAGTACTTAAATGTATAATTAATTACACTGTAACAAGAACACATAAAGTGTAACGTAAAGTTTTTATTATGGTACAATGCCATTCGATTTTTATTCGTCACAAACTAAGGAACGAGTCAGTTTTAATATTCTATTCTATAGAGCTTTTCGATTATTACGTCAATTTGTACACGTAGGAACGTTCCAAAATTGCTGTTTATCTAGGCAGTTCACTAGCTATTACATAACTATGGAATTAAAATGTAAAATGTACACAATAATCTGACCTGGGCAGTATCTGTCGTCCGGCGCTGTCCACGGGTAGAGCCTCCCGGAAGAAGAGCGGCGGGTCCCCGGGTAGCTGTCCGGTCCTGACCGTGATGTTGATGCCGGACGGCGGAGGAGGAGAGGCGGGGATCAGACCCATCCGCTGCTGCACCTCCAGAGACGGTTCCATGCTCCCTTGCCGGATGGAGGGCAGCAGCAGATACAGCAGCACCGTGGCCAGTAACACCAGCCCCAGAACCACCAGACGGTTACGGAAGAAATTCATCATCTGCATGGAAACCCATTTAATTACAACATCCACACTCGGTTTAACAAGATGACACGAGGAGGACACATTAATCTCATTAATCACAGCAGATTAAACCCCCAGACTCCATTTTAACCGGTGGACATAAAACATACATGAAAATACCTTAAATACAATATCCGAATATATAAAATACTTGCATATTAAAATAAAGCATGCATATTTGTAATTTGTAGTTAATGCATAAAAGTCTACATCTAAATAACGTCAATCATATAAAGTGCGCAGACGTACTGCAGCTCTAACCAACCTGCCGATGCATACAAAACATAAGAGCTGTGTCGCGCGTTTAGTACGTACCTAAAAAAATGAAGAAATAATGTAAATATTCAATAATCGATGACTGCCTGAAAGTTTGAGATAGATCATTATTCGCACGTAGTGAGCAGAGCAGCGTTAATGCGTCACACACAATAATAGTTCCGTGTGGAAACACGTGAACGTGTGCGATGGTTCCGTTTGAGTGTTGTGTTCAGTTCAGTCCTTTGGTTGTAAGTTTATCTTTCCATAACTTGGAAACGAATCAATATTTTTGAGAATAAAAAAAAAAGGTAATTACTTGGGTTAAACAGTTGATCAAAAAGGGTGGCGTTTTATACAATTATTCCGATTTTTCTTCTTCTTTATATTTATAACTTTTTAGTAGATCCCATCCAATATTTTTTGGTTTTACATGCATTTGAGGCTAGAATGTAATAATATTCATACTTTAGAAACAGTTTTTACTTCAAGTTGCAGGGCAAGGATTTCACAAGTTCTGTATGTAAAAATATTTTATTGTGTTCCCTTCTTCAAGTATACTTGCTGTTACTAGTCACTGGAATTCTCTATTTTAAAATAAACATCTTGATTGGAGTCAAATTTGGACGACACACCTCATAAAGTGAAAGAGGTTTCACATAAAAAAAATTCCATCGAGTTGACCCAGTTAAATCACTTGTGGCACAGCGTTTTAAAGTGAACACGGAAGATATTTGGTTTGTTTTGTTGTTTTTTGTAAAGATTTCCCCATATACTATTAATCATTTATTTTGGGAGCGTCCTAAGACACAAATGTTTGGGAAAGAACTCAATAATCACATAGAAAGAAAAGCTACGATTCTCGTTAACTTCGTAGAAGCTGATGTTATGCTAAAATGTTTTTTATTTGATGGTGCTAAAATCTTGTTTATATTTTCTTTAATTCTTATAATTGCTTTTTACAATATTCATAAAATCAAAAGGAATGAAAAAATGCCAAATTTTCTAACGATATAAAATTAATGTTGAAATATATTTGGAAACAATTTCAAAAAGTAAAAACTTCAAAGCAAGGAAAACTCTGCAGCTGTTTAATAGGTACAAGTTTTTTTCTGTTAAATGCCTTTTTTTTCCTCATGTATTTTTCTTACCCCTGACATGTGGTTTTATGTACTCTTGTATGTACAATATATGTTTTGTTCTTATTAAAATTAAATAAATAAAAAAGCTAATCTTACCTTGGAAATCTTTCAGAGTTGTTGCGAAATTAAAAATCTCATAATATTATAGCATGTTACTACACATTTGGAAACGTATGCAGCCCCTAAGGGACACAGTAATGATGGGCAGAAAATGAGAAGGGAGGAAAAATTATAATTCAATACCTTTGCATTCCCTCAAGATACTTTGCGTTCACTTTTTGATGGAAATAATTTGAGGTGGGGGGGGGGTGCTAGATTTAGCATTGCACAATTTTACTATAGTAACGCTAAATGCATGCTACTTTGTTATAACACAGTACCACCTTTTGTTTTAAAAACACTAATAAAAGGTACCAAGGTATTTTGGACATCTACCAGGGTTATACAGTAAATGGCAGGCCTTAAATACACAATTACAATCTGACACTACTATTATCTTGGAACAACTATGGCAAAATGTTCACAAGAATAGTATAATTTGAATACAATTTAGAAAAAAAAAAGAAATTGCATAGTCAGTGTTTTCATTTCTATTCTAGTCAAATAAAGATAAAAATGTAGCATTCTTCACACCAAACCTTACATAATAATCGCACCGATGACGTATTCACTAAGACATGTGGATTCCACATTGCAGTGTGATTCTCAACAGTCTGAACCACAGATTCCAGTATTATCCACACATACCAGAAAACACACGGAAGATCCGAACGGAAAGCCCCACTGGGGGTCGGAGAAGGGGGGGGGGGGACTACAAGGAGACTGGATGTCTGGTTCGAGTTATAACACAAGGCATTCTCTGTGCTGCCAGCCCATAATGTTTCCTCTGGCACCGTTCGACAGACCCCTTAGAAGTGGAGCAGGACCTAGAAAA